TCTCATTGAGATGTACTGGCCCATCCTCGGTGCTGGTCGCACTGAGCTCAACACCGTCTACCTCCCCTCCTCCATCGCGAGACTTTGCATCTCCCGCGACATCACTGCCCTCACCAAGGAGGCTGGCAGCTCTCTCAAGGCCTACGCCAAGGCCGACTTCTCCGCGACCGAGGCCCGTCCCACCAAGGTCTCCATCTTCGCCACCAACGAGAAGAAGGACATTGTCATCGAGATTGACGAGCTCACCGTGTCTCCCATCATTGATGGCCAGACCGATCTCGGCAACAACCCTGCCCGCGAGCTCTGCTACAAGCTCGAGTGGGAGAACATTGGCGACCTTAAGTCCCTGTCCGGCAAGGGCAAGAAGAACGCCTCCAACGGAGTCAAGGTCGATGCTCCTCTCCCCGATGTTGACGTTGCCATCATCCACGGCGAGTCCAACTCCCAGCAGATGTTGGCCAACGGTCTCGCCATCGCTCTGGCAAGCTCCACTTCCAGACTCCCCGAGATGGGTGCTCTGCACGAGGTCAACACCGAGGGCAAGCTTTGCGTCGTTCTCACCGAGATCGAGCAGCCCTTCCTTGCGAACCCCACCAAGGAGCAGTTCGCTGATATCCGCAACATGATTGCCGGTGTTCAGGGCTGCCTCTGGGTTGTCCGCGGTGCCTACGACAAGGCCACCTCTCCCGAGTCCAACATGATCGTTGGTCTCAGCAGAACCGTCCGCTCCGAGTCTGTCCTTCCCTTCGCCACCCTCGACTTGGATGCCAACAACGAGCTGGACGAGGATGATGCCTCTGCCGTCATCTACGAGATTTTCAAGCTGGCCTTCAACACCAACGCTTCCTCCACCAGCGAGCTTGAGTTTATGGAGCGCTCCGGCAAGTTCTTCACTCCCCGCATCATCCACGATGAGGAGATGAATGAGTTTGTCCACCGCGAGACCAACCCCAGCATCGTCGAGCTCCAGCCCTTCGGCAAGGACGACCGCAACCTGAGAATGGAATTCTCCACTCCCGGTGCTATCGAGACTGTCCACTTCGTCGATGATAACCTCGTCAACCAGTCTCTCGGCGATGACGAGGTTGAGTTCGAGGTCAAGGCTGTCGGCATGAACGTTCGCGATGTCATGCTCGCTAAGGGCCAGATCCCCGACGCCGACAAGCACGCTCTCGGTGTTGAGGCTGCGGGTATCATCACCCGTGTTGGTTCCGCCGTCAAGTCCCACAAGGTCGGTGACCGCATCGCTGCCCTCACCATCACCCACGGTGCCTATGCCACCCGCACTCGCACCACGGCCGCCAGCGTTATGCCCATCCCTCCCAAGATGTCCTTCGTCGACGCTGCCACCCTGCCCTTGGCCTACTGCACTGCCTACTACAGTTTGGTTGAGCAGGCTCGTCTCCGCGAGGGCCAGCGTGTGCTCGTCCACTCTGCCGGTGGTGGCATTGGCCAGGCTTCCGTTTGCCTGTCCAAGATGATTGGCGCTGAGGTGTTCGTGACCGTCAGCTCCGCCGCCAAGAAGAAGCTCCTCATGCAGCACTACAATGTCCCTGAGGACCACATCTTCTACAGCCGCAACACCACCTGGAGAGCTGCTGTCCGTCGTGCGACCAACGATGAGGGTGTCGATGTTGTCCTCAACACCCTCCCGGGTGCTGATGCCCTCAGGGAATCCTGGGCTTGTCTCAGCCGCTTCGGTTACCTCGTTGATGTTAGGAGGAAGGATGGCTCTCGCGCCACCCGCCTCGACATGGGCCAGACCGACAGCAACGCCTCTTTCTTGAGCGTTGACATCTTCGGCCTTGCCGCCGAGAGGCCCAAGATCATGGAGAGACTTGTCAATGATGTTGCCAAGCTCCTTGCTGACGATGAGCTTCGCCCCATCGACCCTGCTACCGTCTTCCCTGTCTCCACCATGGAGACTGCCTTCAAGACGCTGCAAACCTCCCAGGGTCCTGGCAAGTTGGTCGTCGTCCCCAGCGCCTCTGACGTCGTCATGGCCACCCCCTCCAAGGGAATGACGGACCTTCTGAAGGCTGATGCTACCTACCTCCTCATCGGTGGTACTGGTGGTCTCGGTCGCTCCATGTCCAGATGGATGGTCGCCCACGGTGCTCGCAACCTTGTCCTCCTGTCCCGTTCCGGCTCTGCTACCGGCAAGGTCAAGGAGCTCATTGACGAGGCTGCTGCTGAGGGTGCTCACATCACCGTCCGCTCTTGCAACGTTGCCGACCGCGCCAGTGTTGAGGAGCTCTTCAACTCTGGTCTCAAGGGTCTGCCTCCTGTCCGCGGTGTCATCCACGGTGCCATGGTTCTTCGCGTAAGTCCTTTGCCTACTCCCTGCATACACACAACCGCTAACAACTTCTCAGGACGTTCTCTTCGAGAAGATGACCTACAGCGACTACACCCAAGTAACAGAGTCCAAGGTTCAGGGTGCCTGGAACTTCCACCACGCCCTGCAAGACCGCTCTATCCCCTTGGACTTCTTCGTCGCCATCTCCTCCGCCGCCGGTGCCGTCGGTAACAGAGGTCAGGCAGCCTACGCCGCCGCTAACTGCTTCCTCAACGCCTTCGTCCAGCACCGCCTCGCCAACGGTCTCCCCGCCGTCTCCCTCGACCTCACCGCCGTCTCCGACGCCGGCTACGTCGCCGACGGTGACGCCGAGCGCGCCGCTGAGATTATGAAGAACCTGGGCTCCGACACCATCTGCGAGGCCGAGGTCCTCGCCCTCCTCGGTGCCTCTATCTCTGGCAAGACTTCCGTCGCCAACCACCACATCATTACTGGTATGCGCATCACGCCCGCTGTCCAGCCCTTCTGGACGCCCGATGCCAAGTTCAAGGGCATGCGCCTCGCCGCTGAGGAGCTTGCGGCCCTCGAGGCCGGCTCCGGTGCTGTCTCACTCAACGCCGCGCTCAAGGCGTCTCGCAGCGAGACCGAGGCCATGGATGTCGTCTGCCGCGGCCTGGTCGAGAAGATCGCCGCTGTGCTCATGATGGAGACGGAAGAGCTCGACATCACCCGCAGCTTGGCGCATTACCCTCTCGACTCGCTCGTTGCCATCGAGATCCGTAACTTCATTACTCGCGAGTTCGAGGCGAACATGCAGGTCTTGGAGTTGCTGTCCAGTGGTAGCATCCAGACGCTGACCAAGGCTGTCTGCAAGAAGAGCAAGCTCTGCGTCGGCTTTGACTGGAGCAGCTAGATTGATGGTTGATTGAGCTAGTTTGTGTACTTTGAGAGTGTGAGAGCGCAGCATTTCCTTTTTCTTTGACTTGTTCATTTTATCTACAACACACAAACGAAACGGTCACAGTACTGCATGAAGATGATGAAAGCTATTTCCTTATTTCTTACTTAGATTGTTCGATGGAGGAGAACAGGACGATGACGACGAGAGGGAAATATAATTACCTATTATATCATACGGGAAACAAACATGATGTGGGAACAGATGGGAGAAGGCGTATCTACGGAATGGAGAGGATAAGGTGGTTGGTTGGTTGGTACAACGGGACACAAGGGCGACCAGACCACAATGCTGGGTCTCCTTTTCATTATTTTTCTGTATCTCCTTTCCTTGTTTTGCCTTCTATTTCATGTTGTCATGAGTGTGTGTCTCTATGGTCTTTGGGGAGGGGTATAACCGCCTGGAAATTTGCGGTTATGGGATGAGGAATTGGGAAATGGGAAGAGAGAAGAGATGGGAGAGAGACTGGAATCATTGGGATTGGGAGTTTTGATGTCATATTCTTCAGATGTTCTCTGATTTTCTGGATTTGACATGTGGTTTTTAGGTGTGAGATTAGAATTTGCAGACTTTCCTTAGTAAACATGGCATTTATTACACGTCGTAAGGAAACTGGGTGATGCGATTGAGACTATGCATTGGCATATGCTGACGTTGGCGAGACTATGCTATGTATGCATTTAATAGAAGTTGCATACACCAGCATAAGGATGCTGTTGGCAGACTTCCCAAGCGTTTGTCCTAGCTTCTGTGCTGATCCCAATGGCTTCCATTCTGTCCAGGATAAGTTCAGTGATAAAATCATGTAGACCGAAATTCTGGAGAGCCCGCTCCAGCGGCGTTTTCCCCAAGAAGCCTTCCACGGACAAACTGGCGTCAACCTGGCCTGAATCAAGTAAACAACGCGCCGTATCTGCCGTTCCCGAGTACAGGGCGTTATTTAGGGGCGTCTCACCGAACTTATTTGCTTCGTTTGCGTTGACTTTCCCCGTTCCCAGAAGGAATTTGACCACTTCGACTCGGCCCTTTCCAGCAGCATGTGTCAGGGGCGTTCGTGCTGGTAAGTTGACGCAAACTCTGTCTGAATCTACGAGAGCTTTTACGATCTCAACGTAGCCTCCTCTCGCGGCCTTTTCTAGAGGAGTCTGTCCCCAAGAATCCTCGAGGTCGAGGTCGGCTTTGTCAGATTCGATGAACGGTAGAATGCCAACCACATTACCCATCGTAGCAGCAATATGTACTGGGGTATATGATTTAAATTTCAAGGACTTCAAATCCGCTTCTACCTCATCAAAACTTAGCAACCATGAAATGAAGTCGGCCTTGCCGCCCATAACGGCATAGAAGAGAGGTGTAAATTCGTCGTCATCACGAGCATTTATGTCAACCTGACTGGTTATTACTGTTGTTTCATACTCCATATGGATTTCACTAACCACTTTTCTAGACCGTTCGAGGACCATGATAAAAGCCTCTTTGAGACCAAAGTATGCTGCGAGATGAAGACCGGAGAGACCAGAGGGGCGACGTTGGGGACTATGATGTAATTCATACATTGGAAGTCGATACCTGGCCCGAACGACCTCAAAGGCAGCCTCAATATTGGCTTGGCTACCCATCAAGAATGATATTAAATCCTCGGATGGAGGTGATATACTTTTAGCATGGTGTCCCCATTCAAGCGTTGCGTACTCAAAGAGCGGATACGACTCCAGCCGTCTCCTCAAGTCGAGGTCGTCATGGCTAATGCCCTGACTGAAAGTGTTGAAGGATAAATATGTCATGAATGATTCGACGATTAGATGTTGCGCACTAGGCAACCACTGTTCCGCGGTCCTCTCGAAGTACTCCTGGGTGGTGTAGTGAACGAGACGAATAACCCCACTCTCTTCATCGATAGTGACTAGTCCAGCACAGACTGACACAATATCTTCCAGCTCGGTAATATTGTCTTCATCTAGTTCAGTTGTGCCCCTCTCGACAGCAAGAGCGTGTTGTAATTCCAATGTCTCGAGTGGTCGCCTGGCGCACACGATCCAGGACAACGCGTCTTTGGCGAGTGTCTTCTGTTCGTCGAGCTGTCCTTCGATGCGCTCCATGGCCTCTTCATAGGCACTATCATAAGCTGAAGACCCAGTCGCAAGCTTTCTGAGGGCGTCTTTGATGGCTTTTACCGAGCGTTTGCCTTGCAATGAATCCAAGTGGAGTTGTGCTAGTAGAAACCTGGCGAGATAAAATTAGTCGAGCCAGGTACATCAGCGAAACGTTGCTCACATTCCTTGCACAGCCTGAACGATCTTGTGCTTGATTTCGCCTTGTAGTTCCTTGTTCTTCGTCACAGCTTTTGGAAGCTTGTACATGTGACCATTCAGGAATTTCATCACGTCTCCATCACTGGCCCGAATTTCGATTGATTGAGCGTCGTCAAAGTAGCTCTCAATCTCTGGTATGTACCTTGATGTCGCGAAGATATTGACGTTGGCAGTCTCGTGGAGCCCCAGTATCATCGTAAGAAATGTATCTCGATACCCACCATCTCCGCGACATTCATCTAATGCGTCGACGAGTACATAAATCTTGGTGAGATAGGACGTCACAGAACGAAGCCACTCCATGATTTCATCCGTTGACATCGGAGATGAGCCGTACTGATGTTTCTCGTATGCTTTCTCGATTTCATTGAGTCCTGCCGGCATGTACCAATAAAGCTGCTTCAGGATACTGGAGAGTAGTTCTCGAGGCTTTTGCTCTTCGTGTCGTCGGAAATTGCAAAATATGTAGGCGATTCCAATTGTTGAATCCTGATCAAACCGATCTTGGAGGTGCTCAATGACGATTGAAGAGAGCATGGTCTTCCCGGCGCCTGGCATACCAGGGCAAAAAAGTGTCTTTCGATCTTCTTCGATCCAAGTCTGAAATTCTGGAGAGTCAATAAGCCACTGTCCAGTTCCCTCTTGTCTTCTCTCGAGGTTATCAATCTGCTGTGCTGCAAAGTCTATCGGTGTGATCCAGTCGAGAATCTTCTTCTTCTTTTCATCAAGATGCCTTTCGGTAAGTTCTTTGCGTGTAGATCGGACCTCAAGATCGGTATTGACAGCAAGTGTAGTGTTGTCGATCAAGATTTTGCTGTTGATATCTTGACATCGCCGCTGCACATTTTCGATTGCCGACTGTGTCTTTTCGTTAGAAAATGTCGCCTTTAGTCGCTCCCATCCGAAGCGACTCCCGCCAAGTCGCTTCTGAAGGCTTTTGAGCACATCTTCTAGCTCTTCTTTGCAAGTGAAGAGCAGAGCCGAGTCGTCTGAGTTTGATGGTGCGACCAAATTTGACAAGACCGCAGAATGTTTGCCGTCAAAGGCGGATATGAAATCTGAATTCTGGATGAGGTGGTTGTACGTTTCCCAAAGAGTCTTGTGCAAGGCGTCTACCTCGCTCTTGAACTTCTTGGCATCGTCTGTGGCGTCTCGCCAGTTCAAGCCGAGCTTGGTACATGTCGCGAGAATTTGGCCTGCCACGCCGATGATGCCGATGATCCCGGACGGATCCATGTTGAAAGCACTCCGTCGCGCGACGGTCAACACTCACGGCATGCGAGATCACAATGAGTAAGAGGACAAGAAATCAGTGCCCATCGAGATGGAAATGAGGAGAAGCTGGCTGCCAAGAGTCAGCAGCGGTCATGTGTCTGCCAACTCAGCCTACCGATAATCACAGCCCCAAATGCGCATGCGTTTCCGTATCGGCGTCAATGAACCAATCTGGACTAAGAATTTGGAGGCAATGACGGAGCCCACGCATCTCACCACGTAGTCTCTGACCAATCTGATTCGCTTCGCGATACCGGGTTGCATCGAAACGGTTACCCCATTGGCTGTCATCTGCATCAAGTCAGCGGCACGGCAGGCAAACATGCACGCGGATTGAACACTGCCCCATGAGCGGTAATTTTGACAATCCGGGTTCGGCCCCTTTTGAATCCCTTGCTCCAACGTATATATCGGCATGCTCAGCCTGCTTCTGATCTAGCTGACTCTTCAGTTGGTCGCTTTGCGTTTGACAAAGTCCAGTCCACCCCCACAATTCTTGGGTAGTGAGGCGCAAATGGCGCGTTATGTCTTGAGGGCTATGACGGACTTACGAACATGTCATGATTTGCCAAATCTCGTATTGATCTGTGATTTTGGTCTATGAGAATGGGATGGCGCAAGATTCTGTTCGAATTTTGTGGCGAACATGCAGCCAACCACTCAAAGTTGGCTTGACTTCGAGTGAGAGCTGTCAGAGAGAACCCGGGGCGATGGATGATCTAATCTTAAGGTTCTGACGCCTGGTGTTGATACCCACGTGGATCTCATAGCGTGCTTCCGGAAGCCTTTCTCATTCGTGCTCAAAGAGCGCCACTGATGAACTCCAAAGAAAGAGTGATCGCGGGGAAACGCTCGAACTGAACACGAGGAAACTCTTTTGGGAACGAATTACCTAAGAGATGGGATTTGTCTGAGTTTGCAAGACATTGCGGCGTTGGTGGCAGAAAGTTGTTCAATTGCCCTTTCCCCAATCGATTTGCCGACTCACAACAATCTAAGATCAACGCGAAAGCCGGTTAGCGGCCATGGTGAAAATAGCCGCTTCCGACAGCTCAGCTTAGTTGCAAAGCCACGTCCAAGCGAGCTAGCTCTAGGTTCGTGTTCTAGAGCCCACACAGCTGGGAATTGCCAAGAAGCCAGTGCCAACAGAGTTAGGCCCCTGGCTTGAGTAAGCTCGGGTTATGCGCGTGAAACGACCATTCTCTCGCGAGCTGCTCATCTCGTGAATGGACCACTAATAGTTCAGCACGCGATGCCGCCAGTTGTGCATACTATTTTGTACTCAGGAGAATGCACGGCCTGGTTTGGGGAGCTTGCGGGGAGCTTGCGTGCTGGCAGGCCGAGAACGTTCAATGCTCTCGTTGCCGAGAACACCTAGACTCGCTTGCGTTGCTGCTGATGCACCTTTAAAGGGAGCAAGAGACTCCTAGACTTTACGAAGATGACCTTGTTGGCTGCTCTGCAATCCCTGAGATTCCCGGTTGATCACTCCCTACTTTGGGGTCCACTATGAGCAGCGCCGCGGTTTGTTCCATGGGTCGACAATGAGAACTGTTGGAACAAAGATAGAAACACTCAAGGTTGTTCCAACTGCAGAGGCAAACACTCACTTCGCCAGAGGCACAACCTTGACAAACTCAATCTCCGGGGCACAACGAAAAGCGTTGGATTCTTAAAGTCGCGTGTGGGAAATGCAGGGCAGGCTCTGCTCTCCCTATTTCTCACTCGGAGTCTTCAAGACCATGTCTGGATGAGACCACGACCATCATGTCATCACCGATTCCGAAAACCGAGTCTCAGGCATCTGTGCAAGTCTACGAGATGTCCTCTCTTTACGCGGGCTCACAGCGCGAACTTCTTCCGACTCCACAGAAGCATGGGCACCCGCGACAATGGGGTAAGACACGAAAGATGTATGATACTTGTCTTATCATCTTTCTGGAATTCTTCACGCATGTACAAACGTCTCTGTATTATCACAAGCGTACTGACTCGGTGGCTTTTAGTACCATGGTTAGCACTGCAGGAGTAAGTCTGGCCTGACACAGTTTGGCATACGATGAATACTCACTCCTCATCAGGCGCCGATCTCTGAACATCTCCACCGGGAATCAGGTCTCAGCTCAGTTGCCGCAACTGCTTCACTGGTCTCAACCTATCTCGTCGGTCAAGCAATTGGAGGAGTTGTCACTCCCCCATGGTCGGAATCTTTTGGCCGTAAGAAGCTTTACGTCATCAGCACGATCCTCTATAGCATTTCATGCGTCGTGGTGGGAGCCATGCCCACTATCCCTGTCATCATCGTCGGACGCCTTGTGGCGGGCCTCCTGTCTTCTGTCCCGACGGTGATTGCTGTGGGTAGCATTGAAGATATGTGGGATACACAAGCGAGAGTGTGGTGGGTGTTCACATGGGCATTGGTTGCCAACCTCGGTATTTTGTTAGGGCCGGTGTTCGGCGGCTTGATAATTGAACCCCTCCACTGGTGAGTCATACACGACCCATGAGTACATGAGCCGATGAAGAACTGACACCTTTCTAGGAAATGGATCTTCTTCACGTCGGCCATTGTAACTGGAGTGGCAGCGGTGCTCTTGTGCTTGATCAAAGAGTCGCGACCATCAGTTGCCTTGGCCAAGATCGAAGCTTCCGAAACTGGTGTCCGCCCAAACATGCGCGAAAAGCTCGACCTTGTTCGCCCCTTAAGGCTTTTCTTTACTGAACCCATCGTGTTCATGGTTGCGATCCTGAGCGCAATTGCCTTCGGACTTATTTACCTCTTCACGGAGGTTCTGCCGATGGTCTACCTTCATCTCGACTTCCAACATGGCTGGAAGAACATTCCCTTTCTAGCACTTGGAATCGGCATGGTCTTGAGCGTTTTCACGAGGGTTTACGACTCCCGCCTACTCGCCAAGAAGACTGCAGCCTGTCTTCCGATCACACCGGAATCAAAATGCATCGGCTTTGTCATTGGAGCACCTTTACTGGCTGGAGGTCTCTGGCTGTTTGCGTGGACGATCCCACCACAGGTTGTGTCCGTCCACTGGATCTTCCCAACACTGGCTCTTGTTCCAATTGGCTACGCTGTCAATGAATTCGACCACGTCTTAGCCGGTTACCTCACCGACTGCTACGAGACTTACGCAGCTAGCGGGTTCGCGGCTCTAGCACTTACACGGTCATTATGTTGCGCTACATTCCCGCTGTTTGGTCGGATCATGTTTGACTCTCTCGGCTTCAACATTGCCACGACCATATTTGCTGGCTTAGCTACTGTGATCTGCGTGGTTCCTCCGTTGATGATCAAGTATGGAGGATGGCTGCGGAGGAGGAGTCCGTTGGCAGCCAAGTAAATAAGGGTTGATTGTGGTATGACTGCACTAGGTGAAGCTTCATGCCCTCAGGCGTGCCGATAGAATTCATGACATGAAAAGTGAAAGTTTCTTAATGATTTATCATACACGCATTTTACCACTTTCTCACTTCCTTACTTAACAGTCGTCATTGCTCGAAACCACTGAATCACGAAATCTTGAGGTTCTCAAGACTATGAACATTTCAGGAAACATCAAGGGTCAGGATCGTAACCAAGACCAAGACTGTATGACGCTTGAAATTCTTGAAGTGGGTTTCTCATCAGCCTTTTGATATTTGCGAATCAGGGTTCCTTACTACAGATTCGAACACGGCATCTTTCATCTTTTACAAGTTCTGCGAGACATTTATCTTGCGGCGTAGAGTTCGAAGAGTTGGTTCAATGAACGCACTGGAAATTCGGCTGACACCATGCAAACGACGACACTTGTTGCTGTCACCTTCAAAATGTGGCCCGGAAGCAACCCGGCTTTAATGAATACACGTATTCGAGACGTGGGCGATTTCTGAAGCGAGTATGATTGGCTCGGCACTCACCGAATACACGTATTTACAAAATAGGAAAGTGGGTTTCGGTGTGAAGCCGTCAGCTTTGGTCACGATCTGCACCTGGCACGCATTGAAATTTGTGCACAGCATCTAGCGCGGGGGGCATAAGACGTTGAGCATGATGGCTCAGTTGTGGCTATGGCGGCTATTTAATGATACCAAGGTCTTTACAAATAGGCTATCTACCAGAATATTTCCTTTCTCGTGACCCCCAACATCCAACAAGCGCGTCCTGGCCACGAAGCGACCCTCACATCGGCTTGTGCATTTTCAGGACCACGCCCGCCGCGACTTCAATCCTCCCCGCAACGCCAAGAACCTCGAACACCGGCCATGAATGATCGAACCACGTATCGACGCTCCCACAAAAAATCTCGCAATGGATGTGCCGAGTGTAAACGACGTCACATGAAGGTACGCTCAAGTAGCGTGCTTGATACCCGGCCCAACTCCATGCTGACGGAACGGCTCTAGTGCGACGAGACCTGGCCCAGGTGCGCCAACTGCGTTACTGTAGGCCGAAGATGTGTTTTCCCATTATCTGCCGATCCAGACTTATTGAGCACGCCGATGAGAAGGGATGAAAATCTTGCTGGCTCATCCGGGGCGACAACGCCGAATGCCGATACGAGTTCTGGGTCACCATCAGGACGCAGCCCTGCGGTCATTTCAGCCCCGGACTTGACCCACCTCACCAACGGAGACAACATTTTCGGCCAGCTAGAGTCAGATGTGGCCATCAACATGGTCCACATGAAACTGTTGATTCACTTCTCTCTCCGCATGGCCATCCCAGAACTTGATGAGCATCTTATTGAGCTGGGCACTCGCTTAACTGTGAAGACTGGTGCTGAGGTGCCATATCTTCTTCACGAAGCGCTCTCATTATCTGCACGCCATCTTTCAATGACAGTATCGGAGAAAAGTTCCGAATACCTCAATCTCGCTGTACAGCTACAGAACCGAGCTATATTGCTGTTCAACTCCGAAAAGGTTCGCGTTGACGAAACCACATGCGTCCCAATGATACTCTTCTCCTCCATCCTTGGCCGCCACCTTTGCATGGACGCTCTCGCATTTCGAAGTGCAGACTTAGGTCCGTTCTTGGACTGATACGTCAACTTTGTTCGGGTCCACAGGGGGGTCAAAGTCATCGTCAACCGGGGCTGGCCGCTACTCAAAGACTCAGAGCTCTGCCCCTTAGTTGCCTGGGGCATGGGGCTTGGCCGCTTGCGAAGTCGAGGACGCGACTGCGACGATATCCTGAGGCTCTTGGATTCCTACGAGGATATATCTCCCGACTGTTTGGAAGCATGTCACAGAGCTATCGAGTTCGTTCAGATTGCCGTGGATGATTTGCAAGTTCGGATGTTTACCCGAGGTAAACACCTGTACCAAATCGTGTTCTCGTGGTCTTTATTGGTTCCAGAGGCGTTCTCTGAGATGCTGGTACAACGAAAGCCTGTAACGATAGCTATTTTGGCACACTATGCTGCTCTTCTACACTTGGCTAGAGACCTATGGCAGATTGGCGATTCAGGCGCCTACCTCCTAAACGTCATTTCGAAATACCTTGGGTCAGAATGGGACGAATGGCTGGCATGGCCCAGAAGCATTGTTCTCTCGGAAGATATGGAAGTTGACATTCCGTTAAGACCATCGATCCCAGTATAAAATAACGTCAAGAAACAAATTCCAACACCATATCATGGTCGTCCTGTCAATAAACACACACAAGTGACAACCCAGATGTCCAAGATTTGCGCAAGTTATACGTCTCAAAAATAGTCAGATATGGCCCTCTCGCAAAATTCGATCAGTGCGGCTTCCTGCCCTGTCCCCCCTTCCTCCTTGGTTTTCATCGCATTGATGATGTCTGCGCGAGGGTTTGGGTGAAATCGACCCCATGGCTCAACCCACCGCCCTCCATCCTCGAGCGTAATGTCTGGCGAAAAGCCAGCCCAGAGGTTTGTGTAAGCTCCGAATCGAGGATGATACAGCAGGGGCGAGACCAAAGCCCCGACACCCCAGTGGAAGTGACGAAGAAGTGGGGTCTTCAGGTTTCCCGGATTCAGGACCAAACTGATAATGCCGCGAGGCCCCAGCTCTTTGGCAAAATGGTCTGCTAGAAACCAGTTGCCTGTCTTTGAGAGGGCGTAGTTGACCTGCTGGTCATTTGTCGGCGCGAGAAGTTTGTTCACATCTATCCCGCCATCTGGTGCGCCGAGTTGCGTGGCGATTGAAGTGGTGAATAAGACACGGACCGATCCATTTGTTTCAGTGGCACCGGCTGTTGAGATGAGGACCGGACTTAGAAGCTTCGTGAGAAAGTAGGGCCCGAGGCAGTTGGTTGCGAGCTGTATTTCATGACCTTGCGCTGATACCCAGCCGGCGGGAGGGTTAGAGACCCCAGCGTTATTGAAAAGCCCATCGAGGCGTTCCTCTTCAGCCAAGAACTTCTCGGCTGCAGCCTTGATACTAACAAAATCATCGAGAGCCACTTTCAAGAATCGCAAGCCGCCCACGATTGAATCTGTCGTCGTATCTTTCTCAATGGCAGAGATGGCGTCGCGCGCCTTGGCTTCATCTCGGCCTGCAATGTAGACAGTACCGCCACGTTGCCATATCATGCGGCTCAGCTCAAATCCAACCCCAGAATAGCCTCCTGTGACAATGAAAACTCGACCTGCTTGATTTGGTACATCGGTCTCCACGAACGTGGGAGACGGAGGGAAGAACATCGAAATCGCGTTGCCCATGTTGAATTGATCCTTCGTTAGTGAGTACCCGAAGTCCTTCTCGGAAGATAAACAGTAACCTACCTCTTATCGACGACTGTCAGAGCTAGACTATTGCACGGTTCTGCGCGGCTGATGGGAAGAAGTGTATGAAATCAATATGAAGATTCAAAGGATAATGCAAGGGAGGAAGCGTCAGTAGCTGAATACTGATGACGTCGAAGGCGCTAGTCGGGGTACATCGTAGAAATAGTGCACCAACGCCATTTTGAGGGAGTCAAGTTGTCTTGACACGACGAAATAAATAAAGGAGAAGATATTTGAAATTCAATGTAGATATCACCGCGTCTTCCCTTCATGTCATCATATGATCTCAAAGACACACCTCGCCTTGAAGTCATCAGAACATGCCTGGAACTTCCCATCCGTCTTTGTCTCACTTCGCGCCATACCTTCCATGACCAACTTTCTCAGAACATCTTCTGTTCCAATGCAAGCAGACTGACTTCCACAAATATAAATCTTCGCTCCGATGTTCCATAGCTTCATGACGTCCTGGCCGTCGGCCCAGACCCTATCCTGCACATCGCCTTTGAATTCGTTTCCAGCTCCACGAGACAATGAGTACCGCACATCGACGACCCCACTGCTACCAAGTTCTGGTACGTAAACCGAATCATCCAAGCTGTGACAGCCAACGAATAGCAAAGCTGGTGCAATGATGTCCCACAGAGCCGGACGTCGGCGTAGCAGCTCAGCTCGATGCATTACAAATCCAACGAAGGGGGCGATACCGATTCCATCACAAATCATGATGAGCGGCGTGCTCAATTCTGTGGGTGGTCGAAAGCGCGTATTGAGTGCTTTCACGCTACATGTTACAGAGTCGCCTGCTCTGAGCTGAGAAAGATAATGTGATGCCATTCCAATCGAGGTGTCGCCGTCCTCGTCACTCAGACCACGGGTCTTGCGGATGGCCAAGGAGAAAATTAGCGAGCATGTCGATGACGTGAGGGGCGATGATGAAATAAAATACGATCGAGGTAGAAGTTCAGGCAATATGGCACTTAGTTGGTGTATTTCGATGATGATACTGGGATATGCTTTGAGGAGCTGTAAAACAGACGGCCTGAGGTGGTTCGGCGCTCCGCAGAAGCTCTTCATGGCTGCCTGGAATGTCGCTCTGTCATGATCGTTGGTGCAACATTGGATCAAACTCTCCAGTTGCTGCTGATTGTCAGCTTTTTTATAGGCGAAAAATCATTTGTAGGAAGATGATTACCTCGAGCGTCGTAGGTTGACACATATCGGCCTCTGAAAATAGGACGGTGCCCCCAGAAATAGCCATGCTATTGCGTACGTTCACCATGCGTTGCTGAAAATCTTCACCAACCTGTTGAATATTTGGTGGGATTATCTTCAGAATGTCGCCCATTTCGTACGTTGATCCTTCGGGCAGCTCAAGATCAATGCGATACTTCGTCTCGGTGCCCCCGCTCGCCAGAAGCTTAACATCCTTGACACGAGCTTGAATTGTATCATTCGTATTCGGTGTGTCTTGTTCGAAGTCTTCTTTCGTCGGAGGCACTTGCGGTGTTCCACGGGTGTACGCGGTCGCCACGAATTCAGCACCGGATGGCCCGGAGGCCCTTCGACTCGAATATTTGCAGACATTAACAGTTGTCTCAGGTCCCGCTACCCTCATCGCTGGTGTATATCACTTGTTCGGCGTTCTTGAACTTCAATTCTTGAGGAATATTGCGACTGGGTGAAAGATGTACGTAGGAGCGAAGAAAATGTGAGGTGTTTCGTGGGTGCCTCATTGGAAGGCGAAGCTGTGAGCATCTAATACTTGAGAAAGCTGCATCTCGGTCTCGGTCCCAGAGCACGACATCAAAAGTATCCAGAAAGGATGCCACCCTAGTCGTGTATTGGTCATGTCCTGATGAGACGAGAGCAGCGGTAGTGGTTAATGTCTTGGCCATGGGCCTAGTACAAAACAGAGTTTGAACAAATGTAACGGACTGGGGATACCCGCAATCACCGCGGATCCCGTGGAAGTAGGTAGGTGAACATTATTTCATATCAGCTTATTGATTGGATTTTGAGAGGGGCGATAGTAGCCTTTCAACCATGCATCCTTTTATTCATACATGATTCCCTTTCCTCAAATGAGAAACCTCAATCGATTCAACTCCCCAGAGCATGTGCCATAGACGAACGCCTAATTATCCAAATCTCAAGACACAAGACAAGCTAGAATCAAACAAGACCAAAGCATGTGCAATTTCATACCCTTAGCCTGGGTTCCCGTTCAAAGGACTGGTATCTTCATAGAGTCCTGGCATAGACTGCGAACTGATTGGAAGACCCCAATCAGCCATCTGCAAAAACCCCGCAGAAAACCAGTCATGCCCGCCAAGTGAGATATTCCCCCAATCGCCGCCAAATTCGAGGCCGGGAGGTACGCGAGGCGAGGACGTCGAAGGGATTCCGAGACTACTTGTGGCATCCGTAGCGAGTATTTGCGGGCAGGGGATCGTCGTTGTTGCCGGCATCTGGCTGCAGGGTCCTGGCGGGCACCCCAAAACCACAGACGAGGCGACTTCGTACAAAACCTTGATGATATGGTACGAAGCCACCGTCTGGTAATTCGGGTCATAGCTCTCAAAGAAGTTGATGACCATTTTGATGAGCTCTAGGTCTTGCAAAGCTGTTGTCGAGGTCTTGTTTTCGATGATATTTACGAATAGAATGTCGACGCTCCAGGCAACCTGATACAATAGATAACTACCCAAATAAGCACAGGACCTAAAAGAAGACGGTGATTTACTCACATAGTGAATGGATGCTGCAATTGCTGATGCTTCAGCAAGGCGATTGCGGCCCTCGCGGCATTGACGCACAAGGCAACACTAGGTCGCAGACCATCGTCATCTTCGTCGAGAAGCGGCAACCGGAAAGCCGCAGAGTGAATAGCGACAACCAGTTGAAAATACATGAAATTCAATACAGTGAGACTCATAACCTTGGTGTAATCAGCATCCAGCAAGTCCATTTGCGGCTCAGGGCGGATCAATTCAGGAATAGTCTGCCACCAATCCTGCAACTCCGCATCTAGATGTGCGATTGTAGACTCCAAGGTGGCAGCCGACATTATTTCGCCACTCTGAGAGTAGAGTTTGGAATATATATGCCCTTGGATCTGCGACAGGCGAACCTGCTGATGGAAGTAACTGAGCGTAACATCGCCGGGATAGTAGTAGACTCCGTATCCGTCCGCTGGAAACTCCTCAGGAAGCTCCAGGAGGAAGTCATCGCTGATAAGAGGTGGTTTGCCGATACGAAGCATAAGGTCATGATCGAGGACATAGGCTTGCCAGAATAGGCGGCGGCGATGCAGGACATCGGCAGGATGACCCAGCACTTTGTTTGGGTGGTCTGGGTTATGATACCCAGCAAGGAGGATAAACTGAGTTGCAAGGGCAAGTATTGAGACTGCAATGTGATTTTCAGCCGAGAATATAAAATAGTAAACCTGTGTTAAGTCAGTATGACTGCAAGGTAAGAAATGATGAGACGTAGATATTACTAGCGAGAGAAGGGACCCAATAGTCATGGGATTTGGCGTCTGTAGAATGGCATTCGGAATTAGAGCGAGAGCGTTGTTGAGATAATGCTTGTGCTCGGGATTGTCGCTATTCCAGTCGCGCCTCCGCAGTTCATGCATGATAATGACGTTCAGGGCCAGTTCCCATCCTGGCTCATCACAGGGTTGGCCGTACATGTAAGCATTCACCGCTGCGCGAACTTTAGACTCCTGTAGGAGTCTTATGCCGTTGTTAAGTGTCCGCATGTACTCTAGGAGACATTGGTCAGTTATGTGGGCCACGTTGCGCAAGTGGAAGAAACATTACCGTTGACGCAGAATATGACAATGTCATTTGGGGGGAATGGGTAATCCCTAGGGGAAGAAGAAAAGTCGAGGCTTCTTTTCGGAGCGAAGCTCCTTACTTGTTGCAGAAGATTACGCACTGCATCTGAATAACGAGTATCGCCAACCAAGGTGTCGATCTTGGCAATGCCCTCGGCTGAGAACAACGAGCATGATCCTAAATAACGCGGCAGTGAGCCTCAGCGCTCTTGCGATGTCAAGACGGGAAACATACCAGCAGTCCCAACAGTACCCTCGGATGCTCCTGCATAATAGGGCTTCGCAGTTCTTGGTGAGCTCGAAGCCGGTGATGGTGGATACGAAGCTGGCGAGACTTGAGTTGAAATTGTCGATGCGGTGAGGGCCGGCTGAGGCGGGTTTGTGTTGGATGAGGACTCTTCAGGTGTCAAAACTTGTGGACCTTTCTTAGCAGCAGTTGCTTTCATCTTGGGCGCACTAGGTTCCTTAGGTTCCTTAGGCTCTTTCGGTTCTTGTAACTCCTCGACCAGACGCTCCATCTGCGCAAGCCTAGTGACGATATTCTCGTAGAGCCTACATGATGACGTCAGTGACCTTGAACCTCAGAATTCTCACAAAACTCCAATAACCAGGTCAGCGGATATGCATACTTCTTTTCGCCTCGCCGGATACTCTTCTTCCTCTCCGGCCAAACACACTCGCCGCCATATTTCTCGCATCCCGAGCATACCGGTCTTCTGTGGTCGCACTTGACCTACGACGGTGACATAGTCAGCATCTTACGCCACGGAAGACCGCGACACACCATAATCAGCGCAGAGACATGAATCCACAACAGTTCCAGCAACAAACCTTTCGGGTCCTGCATGCTGTACAAGAAAGCGACAAGGCCTTTGACGCCGACCGTTGGGCTTCCGACGTGGACTGCATCGTATTTCGGCCGGGGAGCGGAAGACAGAGTACCGAACCACACAGCCAAGCGCTCAAGACCAACTGCTATGGAGAACAAAGAAGGGCCGGTCACGCACGGCAGGAGCAGAGAGCGGCGGCGCGGGATATGAGACAGTACGGCGTTTGTCCGGAGGTGCCGGGCGTACCAGTTAGGCCGAACCGCGGTTTCTCGCGTTCGGCGCTCCCCGGTCTCGGACTACTTTTATCTCCAATGTCCGACGCTAAGACGGGCTTTGTGACCACAAATGGAATTGGGTTTCGGCTTTGATGTGAATGTGAGACCGTTTGCTGGCCCGCGCTCGGCCGTGAACCTTCGTATTGGTCGTTATCTTTTAGTAATGATTGGTTTATCCCGCCGGCTTCAAAGTCTACTCTGCACGCCCTAAGGAATTGCTTGATGTCAATGATGATTCACTCGGATCCAGAATTGAAGTTGACTCATCGGCAAGAATCTTGTCGAAGACTTGGATGAAATATTCGGTTGTCGGACGCGAGTCATGGTCTTGGGAGCTTGGCAAATGAAGATTTTGCTCCTGGTTGTTCAGGGAGCACGCTGCGTGAAGTGGGGCAACATTCCGTGATATCGCTTCAAATTTGGTGAATTCCTGCAATGGCACTCTCTGTCTTTGAAAAGCGAAAGTGAACCCCAGATTTATCTTATCAGCACCAGTGCTAAAATTCTGCTATTTTTCTGTCCTTGAATTTTCAAACGGTATGTTCTACTAACGTGAACAACAGAAAAGCTACTACTTCCCAGCGGCTACCGTCCGACTTCTGTAATTTTAGAAAAGAGTTGAGAAAAGCATGTGACGATGCGATCGCGAATCGTCTGAACTATGATGAGAGCAGTCACAAATGATGCCTTGCATGTTCCAACACGTCTTGGAATAAAGCGATGTACCATGTAAGACGGAAGCTGTCACTTACAAATGAATTCTGAATTCTCCGCAAGATCATCAACATGTTTCATGTTTCTCATCACAACTGAGAATGCCATCAATGAAATGTGCAAGTGTGAGAAATAGTTTAGACTTTACACAATTAATGTGCTTTCGAAGATGAGTGAGAGGGGTGGTCACTGGTTGACAACAGCGTTGACAGCAATGAAACTTCCGATCTTATCGTGTCGCGTTTGCTACAATGTTCCTTCATAATATAAAGAGAATTAGGCCCTATTGACGCCGCGAATTGTTACCAGCGCCGAGAAACGGCATGTCAGATGTCGTGCGCGCATCGTATCTCAGCGGGTATTTTCGACCGAGACGTGCTTGACTCGGATAGATTTCAACACCGACTTACCTATGAGCACCCCTACTCACAACGTTATCAAGTCTCCTGCTTAGAGCAGGCCTGGCACCACAACTTGTATGTGCTTTCTGGGAAATAAAACACGAGCTAATCTCCGGCTGGTGTACGCCCTTTCAATTTGCGTACCAAATTCTGTCAAATCTACGTCTCCTTCGTTCGTCCTCGACCTCAAGATGGCTGCTCCAGTGGGAAGCTCGATCTGGCTCGGAGAGGATGGCAAATTATCACGGCGCCAGGTATCTGATACCTACGAGCCAACCGGTGCTGATACACTGGTGCACATCAAATACTCTGGCATCAATCCAGCCGACAAGAAGCACTTCCTCATAGGGCTCCACTCATTTATCGCTGGCTATGAGTTCTCTGGCTTTGTCGTCAAACCCGGGCCCGAATCCCCTTTTCACGTTGGCGATGTGGTCTTCGGTATGAACAGACCTCAACATCAACGGCCAGCGCATCTCGGAGCGCACCAAGACTTCGCAATTGCTGAACCTCAGGCTTTCTTCAAGTTGCCAGAGGGAATGGGTCTTCCAGAAGCTGCCGCGACAGTACTCGTGGCCCAAACTGTCTTCGATGGCCTGCTCAACTGTCTCGAGTTTGGGTTTCCGGCGGCTGGCATTCAGGGAATCAAACCGACCGACCGTTCGATTCTCATTTGGGGTGGTGCCAGCGGAGTTGGGATGGCAGCGATTCAGATTGCCAAGACGATGGGATTTGGCTCGATCTTTGTTACAGCATCACCACGCAATCACGACGGGCTTATGGGGCTCGGAGCAACCCAATGCTTTGACTACAGCAACCCCAAAGTTGTAGGCGACATTCAATCAGCAGCCAAGAAGACTGATTCTGGTGATCTTTCTGTTGTATTCGACGCCGTCGTTGCTGGAGCCGATCCCCTGTTACCTCTAGCGGAACGTCCACCTTTCGAAGAAAGCTCTCCTTTCCTCGCCAAACGTTGCTGTGTCGCAGAAGAATCAAGAACCGAGGATCTAAAGCTGGTTTCCGTGCTACCTGTCTCGGACGAACCAGCCTACAAGCACGCCATGTGCTGGAGACCTCACGGTGACAAGGATTTCATAGGAGGGGCTCAGAGCCCCGAGTTTCCGCATCGAGTAAGGGTGGCGATGGACTGGCTGGCCCAACATCATAGAGATTGCTGGCGCATCCCTCGCCTTACAATCGTCAAGGGGGCTCAAGCGGGAATTGGAGCGATGGAAAGGTCTGCTGCAGGAGAAGTCAGTTTCGAGAAGATTGTCCTGGAACACCCTCTTTGAGTACGCTAGAAGCAATTCCACAAGATTAGGAAAGAATGCAACTTTTCAGATTTGTATATATGTACCAAACCCCCATTTACGATTTCATCATTCGTGATCTTCTATGATGTGCGAGTTCCTTAGGAGCTCATTTTTTTGACTCGATGCTATTCAAAACCATAAAAGCGATCGTGATCCGAAAGTCGGAAAGCGAAGTCGCGAGGTACACAGAGAAGACACAGCTTTGAAATGCCCCTCTACTCTGACTGCTTGGCAGCCGGATAGCTAATGTAATTCGGCCGAGATGCGGCGGATGAAATGTCAGCTTGGTAGCGACCGCGGATCGCACGGTCTAATTACTGAATACTGCCGTCAGTTCTGACTCCGCTTAGGCAAAGACTCAGGTCATGATTCTTTCGCTTACATATCAATAACATTTCACTCCATGCGTTCTGCGATCTCGGATTTACGGATTTATTAGCTTCACATGTGCAGTCATGCAGCCTGCTGACACAACAATGATGGAAATTCACTGACGGACGCTCTGCTCCATAGCGAATGCAACTTTAAGGTTTAAATGTTCAACGATGCATTGATATTGTGAGGCGTGGCGGGCATCCTGCATGTAAAACTCTCGCAGTCAGCGTGTGCTCGTGAACTATCAGCCTATCATCAAGAACAGACCCCTTTTTCAAAAGGAATATCGTATAATATTTTCCTAGATCCATAAATCACGGGCACTCACGAATTAGAGTTGAGAGCTTGGTATTGCTATGAAGAAGATCCGTGTTGTTGGAAGTTACGTTTTTTGGCAATGATCACAATGGAGCAAAGCTCTACAAAGCCACACCGACTAATTCCCGTCATCTGGTCCGATCAGCAGTATTAAGTATTCCAGCCCAAGTTCTTCACCCAATTAACCATTTTAGCCGAAACGTCAGGCGCATTCAAGTGGGTATGACAATTATGACCAGCACCCGGAGAGATCCACGCCTCGCTCAGGTTCCGATCAGCGCTGGCATACGCGGTGTCCAGGGTTTGGGCGGCCAGATTTTGCGGCGTGACACAAGACTGCCCACACACGACGTAGTCGTGCTCTCCGAGGATCACCAGGACTGGTGAGCGATAGCTGTTCGTGACAGTCAAGTTGCCCCAGAAAGAGCTGCTAGGCGGGATGAGCATCTCACCCATTGACTCAGTCTGCATGTGCCTGACCGTTTGTGAGAGAACTGTTGGTGTCAGCCTGGTCTTGGTTTCTGTCCGTATTTGTGAAGACAACTTACTTTGGGGGTCGAAATTGGGATACTTGAAGAAACAAATGTGAATACCCTCTGCAGACTTGGGCACAAGATAGCCATCAGGTAGATGTTTCAGATGGTCAACATCCTTCGGCGATCCAAGTCCAGTTGCAACCACACTGCCAGCCCCAGCCGCATTCTCGTATGCGTAGCCAGTGTGTATGATGGCGTCAAAGTCGCTAGGGTACTTTGAGATCACCGCTTCAGTTGCCTTGCTCCCGATTGAATGGCCGACTCCGATCACCTTGCTAAATTGGGGACCGAACGAGCCAGAGCGAAGCATGGTAACTAGCTGATGCAGCACCTCCACGGAAGCAGGGGTTTGTACTTCAAGAAGAGGGTCGGGGTGCTCGGAGAGGCCCGTTCCAAGTCGGTCATAGCTTAGAGTGACCATGCCAGCCCGGGCAGCTACATCTACGTAGCTGTATCCAGGGGCGAAGTCCCAATAAGTGTGATCAAGCGTACCACCATGAATGAGGATCTGCACAGCTCTGTCGACACTGCTTGGCAGGCCAGACGAGGGAACGCAGTATTTGACCCAAATTCCGTAAGTCTTCTGGATCAAGGCAGTTCCCTCAGAGAAGTCCAAAATGCGGTTGGGGTCGGTCGTGGTGACGTTGAGAACGAAGTCGGTGACTGTTAAGGAGTCTGTAGTTTTTTCGAAAAGCCATTTCTCGGCCTCAAAACTTATCGGAATTTGTATCTCTCCAGTAACACATGACGCCGCCTCTCCTTTGGAGAGGGTAAAAGCAACGTTCTTGAAGAGGGTGGTGTTGATGTTATGAGACATGGGAGACGCTCCTGCCAAAGCGACAAGGCTTAGAAGGAAGACTTGGGACGAGGGTCGCATCTTGAGCTGATCAAAAGTCTACAGATAAACAGAAGAGTACTTGAATTTTGATAAAAACGATGGAGGTATCACTCTGATTTATCCAACCCAGGAAAATGATGAGGGATCTGTGAAAGGGGGTTTTCGCAGTTGCTACAGCCTAGTTGCAAATGATTCCCCGTCACGACTCCATCTCCCTGAAGGAACTCGGCGAAATGTTTCCCTATTTTGACAAGAATCTTTCGTCAAAACTGAAATCGTGTTCGTCGCCGCTGCCAAGGGGTCTGCGGAGTGATCATTGTGGCTCCTAATTCATTTGAGCTTGATGCTAAGTTCACGGCATTAGTAATGGAGAAGACATAACGTTGTAAGACCGAGCTGATTTCAATTTGCACGCAAACACCCGTTTACTAAGTAATAATTCAGGGGTTGATGATCAAAGGCTCGGGGCGCGCGGGTACCGGATGCCGAGAAGGACACGGTCTTCGTCCGCAGAGATCCCTTCTGAGTGCTCTCCCGTCCGCCGCTCACCGGATATCTTCACACATAGGTTCTGGCCCTGGACTTTCATCTCAGCAGCTTTCATCATTTGACCACGCAAAATTTCTCCGTCAGATGTAGCGCATGGCTAACAAAAGACCAGCAGTTCATTGCTCTTAGCCATTAGCAGCCCAGTAACCAGGATGCGCCGTGCAGCAAGACTTGAAAGCTTGCCAGTTTTCAGTGCAGCACTAAATCCCCTGTGAGAGTCTGACCAAAATTTCATTTGTGCATGGGATACTCACAGCACCGTCTTGTTGGTAACTTCCTCCAGGACAGCATGATGCGGTGTACCCAGAGTTGGAGTTGTCAGATCTCAAACATTGCCAAATAAGAGATGGGCTGTTGTTGCAATACGCAGCGGATACTCCGCCCAAATAAGTGCTCTAGAGCCCACATGTTAGACCGTCATGAACGATCAAGGCTTTTCGGGTTGATTCTTACGAAGGACAGCAAAGCCGCGAGTTGATAGACCTTCATGGCTGTTTAGGCTATCTGATATGTTGGTCAAGCTTAGAAAGTCAAGCTTAGAAAGTCAAGAAAACTGCCCAGTGACGATGGCCAAGACAGTGGTTCTTATGTCTTCAAAGCTTGTTAACAGCCGCAATCCGGGTGAACAGGGCCCACTTGCCGACTCTTCATGTTATCCATAAGCGGCAATTGATGTGATATTTCATCGACATGATTCGCGGTGTCAAATTTCCTCCAGAAAGTGAAATAAATGAAAGTGCCTCAGACATGAATCAGTGTGCATTTTTGACCCGTCCGTTCCCATCGGTTATCTCGGGTCGTCGTTGGCCGGCATTCTCCGACCGACTCGTACCTGGCGCTGCTATGCACCCCTCTACTTGAAGACCGGATCTTGCCATAAACTCCGGAACTCCATGAAAGTGGCTTGGAACAGTTGCATCAGTACGAGATGGCCGTCTTGTTCAGAATATTTACCGCAGCTTGGGTTTTGTCACGAATAGTCAGTGCTTCTTTCTGTAAGCAATCGCAGCTGCATCCAAAAGTGTTGCCAAAAGCGAGACGACTGCAGACATTCAATTGCATTTAAGCGAGAATAATAGCATCCATTTTTTCAACGTGTTGTTGCCAACGAACTCCGTAAGCTCGCCATGGATCCGAAACCGAGTGTGAGCGACTTTAGCTCTGGCGTTGACAAAAGTATTACGTATGATTGCATGCCTCGATCAAACTTCTTGGGTTTCTTGAAGAACTTGTCTCATTGCTTTCCCATCGGTAGAAAACGCGTCAACTGGCTAGGGTGGCTTGGACAAGCGGCGGCAAGCCGTCAGACATGCGAAAGCACGATTGGGTGTAGAAACAAATCCGAAAGCATCGCAAATACGGAGAAAACCAGGTCAATTTCAACAATAAAGGAAAAGCAAAAGCAAAAGTCAGATTGAAATTGATCACGGATAAATTATATCTACGTTACAATACTCCGACGGAGCCATCCGCGGAACTTTTGAAATGTCCGCATCGCCGATACGCTCTCCACAATCTAAGATGGTAGGTACTCAACGACTGTTCCAGTATCTCTTGACGATTATTTCTGAATTCAAATTCATTTTATCACACTAAATTGATGCTGAGGTTGATATCGTCTAAACTCCCTTGCTGCCTCAAGGTCTGCATCCAATGTCATAGCACGGAGCCTCTGAAAGGAAACTGGAACTCCTAGGCACGCCTCAAGAGCTCAAGTTGTGGGTATCATCTTGAAGAGGCGGCTGGCTTCAATCAAATATATCTGCAGCAAGAGATTACAACCCGCGAGGTGTCACAACGATCTTTTTGATTGATGCATGTATCAGAAGCCGAGTCTAGCTTCGTGCACTGTAGTACATACATATAATAACTCATCGTTGGTTTCCCCTAATTTCACGAACTGAATTCCACTCTCTTTCATCATCACTTCGTCCCTAGGACAATGAGTCGACTATACCCTCAGGCAAGGACACATCCTGTCGTTTGTCACCAGCACCGATGCAGTCGTTTAGACGCCCTGGATGTTAACCTGGATGTTGCTGTTTGTGATACAGAACTCACTACCCTTTACGGTGTTGTCGGCGCGGTAGCATGTGTCGAAGATGAGGCCTCCAGTACGGGCAATGTCGTTGCTATACATCAGTCAGCATCTATCCGAGCTGAAACGCGGCTCATGGTATCATTGAATCCCCCATCATGAGGCCTCAACTTACCAGTTCACAGTATAAGTGCCGGCTTCGGCCTTAGTGCCAACGAGCTCAGCGCCTCCAATGCGGCACATCTGGATGGCGGACTGCGCGACGACGCAGTTGGTGCCGGCAGAACCCTTGCGGGCGAGATCGTTGAGACACGCCGCGGCATCTCCAGACTACAGAGAGAGAAAGTTTTACGTTAGAAACTGATTCGAAAAAGGTTCTAGAAAGGCCGGCTGAGTGTGAATCTGAAAGTTCGTACCGGAGCATCCTTCATATCGGCGGGGCACCAAGCTCTCTTGGTAAGACCACCGGCGGAGGAGACAACGCTGGCAGAGTTCGCCGCCGCAACGGCTTGCTCGGGGCTGAGAGCCGTGTCGGGGTTGGCGATGATGTCCTCGACCCATGAGGCGAAAGAGAAGGTCGTCTCAGAGGACGCGGCCGGTGCGGCCGTGACGGCGGCAGCCATGGCCAGGGTGACAACAGAGGCGGTGAACTTAACCATTTTGGCTGTTGGAAGTATTAAGAATTAAGGCGGTCTGATGATTTTTGAAGAGTTCTTGGAGTGGTCTGTGGAGTAGAGAAGAACTACAACCTGATGAGCGACACGAGTGCATGTCTAAATATTTCCCATTCAAGTGAGCACATACGAGATTCCCGATTCTGTTAGATTCAGACAACATTCAGAAGGGACTTTGGTGAAGAAAACTCCATTAACCACACTGGAGTCTATCCACAATATCCGTCTTCACAGCTCGGACTATGTACGTTGTTGACTGAACTGTTCGTATTCGTCCGCTTGAAGGATCAAGTTGAGCGGGCCGACCCACTCCACTCCCTCACGTCAGCCGGCGAGCATGGTAGCCCTGTAGGAAATCACAACTCTAAGTTTGCGAATGTGTCCAATCAGTGGCTACTAATCTGGGTCGAGTATTGAATGGGCATATCGGAACGAGTTGGAATGAACAGGCTGCTATCCATTTAGTCCAAGACCTCCGGCCAGCATGCCACTTCGGCCTGGGCCGGAAGCGGGGCAGCCCTGCAGGGCTTTGGGACTTCGGTTCTCGGCTTCTGCCTAATCAGCGGGTACCGCATGTGCGGTTACATCCAGTCTACAACGTCTACAGACTATACTTATGCATAAATCATTCTCTTGCGGTTGACAGATGTCTCAGATGAGTACTTGAGAAAGGGTTATCGTATGCTAGTATCGAGGCTGATGATTTATGCTCTTGTACGTTGCTTTCCTTGAAAAAGCTGAATTCAATAACTATCCCTACCTAGTGGATACCACCAGGCAACAGAATAACGGCATCCACTCCCAGGCTCACCGCAAAACATCATGCGAGATGCGCTGTATCCAAATGATTCTTGAGTTTTGACACTATTTCGTCGGTTGGGATCCGAAATCATTACACTGGGCCTCGCTCAAGTCGGAAGGCAGTCTTCCGTCTCAATACACCTTCAAATGATGAGCCCTTGCCGTCGCAGTTGCTGTTGATGCTGTGAGCTCGTGTTCACCCTTAGAGCTGATTTATTATGAAGAATGCCCGAACAGCAAGTAGGTATTACTTTAAGTAAGAACACCACACAACACGGCAATCCATGCGACTGGGATACCAAATATGGTCTCGAGAGGTTCAAGCTCCTACAATCATTTCACCCTTCCAACCCCACACTCGTCCCGGTCCCCATTCCACTGGGTACTTTCGGTACCCGAGCAGCATGCCATCCTACCCTCTCCCTGTTTCGAGGATATACTTCCCGAATATACGGAAACAAAACTCTCGGAATATCAAGCCAAGCTCCGCGTTCGCATTGGTGTCTATTGCCTCAACCTGTAGAATGCAGTCAATGATACAGCATAAGACTCATCAGAGACCGTACCCACTGAAATACTGCGTTGCAACCCGTTGCAACGGGTTGAAACATTGTGTCCCTGATGGTTCATGAATAGAAAGATCATCTTCTTAAATACGTGTCAAACAAAGGCATCATAGACGAGCGGAGGCTGATGCTTGAGACCATAACATCGTAGTCAAGTCATCACTAGCACCTTTTCTCACTGTCATTCACCAGATCTGGGCCACTTCATGGGGTGTCGAGACGTATATATAATAAAACAATGTGTCTGACGAAAGGCATCTTCTGTCAATTACGCGTTGGCGAATAGTTTTGCGTTTTTAAGCAAGCGATTATCATGCTTGTTCCCAAGCGGCCAGATACAACACGAACAGGGGAGCAAATCTGACAACATCATCGTAGACTCCTACCCGTCACCCGCGAGTCCTGCCCGCTCTCCTTATCTGCCCGTTATTCCCCATGAATCATCAAAGCAGACCAGACTATGCTACACCTCAAAGGTGTCGTCGGTATCTTGCACCACAGCCGGCACAGATCGACTCCGCTCACAGTTGCGTAAAGAAACGGTGCCACGGTCACGCATTCGCTCGGCCTTTAGACAGAGGCCTGGGTAACGTATGCTTTAAATCAACTGCAAGCTCGTTAGGCTGGCTCAACTGTCTGGCAGCAGGTAAAAATGTGTTACATTGCGTGCAACTCAGAGACGGATAAAAACACCAAGCCGAAAGCCTTCGTCATCATAGCATACGCACCAATGCGGTTGGATGCAACCGAGTCTTGTTGGGCCGGCTGAAAGGTTCAACCTACACGTACAGTCCGCTTTCCAACGGCGTCAGCTTTCCTCCCGGTCTCGCAAAACATCTTTTCCAGTGCTCACCGTCCTTCAACCTTCCCGTACCAAACTTATCTCTTCCGAATAACAGACAGATCATCTTAGGACACTTCCGTGCCGTTCAGACTTACCTTGAATGCATCTTCTCCCACCTTCCTCTTTGTCACTGGAAATCCTCAGATGGAACGGAGCTATTCGCGTATGGCTCAACAATTGGACATCACTGGCTTGGATGAATCACTCTGTTGAATATAGGCTTAAATAGTAATTGCGGCAACGTGACAAGACACTAAGGCACCATCGTAGCCTGGGGCAAACATAAAGTCAAGACGCAAAGCCCCTATAGTCGTACCACATGCGACAAAATCATGCGGATGATAGTGGACTGTCGCGGCAGTGAGGAAACAGGGCCGAGCTATAGCTCTCACCCGCAATCCTACGCACATCACTCTCCCTCGTCTTGTGTGACAGCCGACTTGGTCCACTCATCCATCAACGTCGCCGTCTCAACTTTATTCATCAAATACGCCCATCCAAACAGGAGGAAAGCCTCAGTGACCCGTCGAACCGCAGACTCAAACTCACCCAGTCAGGCAGGTATGGTGTATCTTCCCTGTCTCTTTACACCGAGGTGCAGGAGAAAGACTCATTGCTTGGACCCAACTGCATTTGGAGGACCCATTGCTGCTTTTTCAAGACAACAGTTACGAGCGTAGGCGTGATATATATACCACGGGCAAGGCAACAGGCAATGTGCAACCCACAAGCCACTAGAGCATATAATCAACTCCCCTGACAATGATTCTCCAGGGGAATGATTACCCGTCGCAGATGCCTGCGTGAACATCGCAGAGCCTCTTAGGGACCACATGGTCGAACGCTCAAAGTGAACCAAACATTCTGTAAGATACACCGACGTAACCCACCCCCAAGAACCCGGACTTCTCCTCCCTGCCCACTCCCCTCCCTCGCCACCGCAATCCAACATCAGCCTCACCCACCGCCCAATCACACCCACCCAACCCATCCAAATCAAGCAGGTACCCTTCCGCTTCCCTTCCACACATTAAAAGCAGGAAGAATGGCCTGCCAATCTGTAGAAAAAAGGGGTCTAGAACCGTAGACGAATGGAAGTACATCAAAATCCCCTCCAGATCCAAGAGACGTTGCCAAGGGCCCAAGTAAGCTCGAAGAATTCGCACCCGTTCGCTCATGCACGTAGGGTCTTTAGGCCGCTGATCGTCGATTTCATGTCAGTTTACGGAAAGCTTGGCCTTTTGCTTTCCCACCGAATTTAATCAAGGCCGGGTGTCCAGCAAAAGAATCTTACCTCTCTTCTCTCAAATCGTCTGCCCTAGATCGACCCTGTGGACATATTCCCTGGAATCAAAGCCCATCTCGGCATATGCCAGAAGCTCGCCGACAAGAGAAAAGCCCGATGCCATGCATCTCGGGACCAATCTTCCGACGCGGCCCCCCCATCTCCACAACACGTAGAAAACCGGGCCCCTCGATCTCCATGCACCTTTTGCGATCGCGCGGATACTTATCCACAAAATCCCCTTATTTCCGCATCTCGAAAAATCCCCGTTTCCTATTCAACAGAAAAATCTTTCATGCTCCCTCGATCGCGGTGGATTTATGTGGGCTCTGCTCAACCTAGGCTTTGCGTAGCGTGTCTCGGAGGACGACAGTCATGCTCATGCTTCCTCAACCATACAGTGCAAATCGGAGATGTTGATGAGAACGATTATTTGTTTGCCATAAATGGTCGTGTCGTGATATCATTGGTATAATGCCTGATAGCTAGCTCTAACTTAAAACAAATACTTGGTAACAAGATGCTTTTCTGAGAGAAATGTGACTCCTCCTCTTTTGCATAACATTTTTCCACACTCATATATATCCGCTTTCATATGATGATAGATTTTTTTACAGACGAGCAGTCTCCTGGGCCTCCTGGATGATGAACTCGGCGGCCTTCTCGGCGACACCAAGCACGGTGAGCATGGGGTTGATGGTGGGGATGGTGGGGAAGACGCCGGCGTCGCAGATGCGGACCCGCTTGAGGCCCTTGACGTTGAGGCGCTCGTCGACGACGGCGAGCGGGTCCTTGCGGACGTCGCCCATCTTCGTGGTGCCGCAGGGGTGGTAGACGGTGTGGGCGGCGCGGCGAGCGTAGAGGGAGAGCTCCTCGTCGGTGTTGACCTTGGGGCCGGGGGCGACCTCGCGCTTGATCCAGTTCTTGAAGGGGGCCTGCTCGGCGACCTTGCGGGCAGCGCGCATGCCGTAGACGAGCGTGGCGGCGTCATAGCCCTCCTCGTCGGTGAAGTAGCGGAAGTCAAGGGCGGGCTTGACGTTAGGGTCGGGGGAGGTGAGGAAGAGACGACCGCGGGAGCGGGGGCGGGGGATGTTGGGGGTCATGCAAAAGGCGTAGCCTTCCTTGGGCTCGTCGTAGCCGAGGCGGCCGGTGTTGAGGGTGAAGGGGATCTGGTAGCAGTGCATCATGACATCGGCGATGTCACCGTCGGGGATGCCGTCGGGGTTGAAGAAGGTCTTCTTGCTGCCAGCGTTGGGGGCCTCGCGACGCAGGAAGATACCGGCGTCGGAGTCCATGGTGGTCTTGTTGGGAGGGACGGGCTGGTTGAGCTCCCACATGATGATGGACTCGGGGTGGTCCTGGAGGTTCTCACCGACACCGGGCAGGTCGTGGATGACGGGGATGCCGAGGTCCTGGAGCTGCTGCTTGGGGCCGATACCAGACAGGAGCATGAGGCGGGGGGTGTCAACGGCACCAGCGGTGAGGATGGTCTCCTTCTTGGCGGTGATGGTGCGCTTGGAGCCATCGTTGAGGGTCAAGTTGATACCAGTGACGGTGTCGCCCTTGACGTTGAGCTTGGAAACCCAGGCGTTGGTGAGGATGGTGAGGTTGGGGCGCTTCTCGTCGCCGCGGAGGACGGGGTGGATGTAGGCGACGGAGGCGGAGGAGCGGCGGCCGTCATCGGGGTTGTAGGAGATGGAGAAGAAACCGACACCCTGCTTCAGAGCGCCGTCCTGGGCGATGTGCTTGTTGAAGTTGTGGAGGATGGGGATGTCGAGGGCGGAGGAGCAGGAGTTGACCCAGTCAAGGCAGAGCTCGTTCTGGTGGCGGGCGTGGACGGGCTGGACGGTGTTACGCAGCTTGTCCATGACGCGCATGAAGTCGTGGAAGGTCCAGCCGTGGGCACCCAGCGACTGCCAGATCTTCAAGTCGTACTCGAAGGGCCTGAAGGAGATGAGGGTGTTGTGTGATGAGCAGCCACCCAGGACCTTGGCGCGGGAGTGACGGATGTGAGAGTTGCCTGTGCGCAATTGGTGTGAGCCTTTTTTTGTCCTGACATTCAATCGCTCACGATGGGACGAACCCAGCGCAGAGCTTATCGTGAGATTGCGAGTGGAGGGGGAAGCTTACCCATGGGCTGTTCGGTGGTGCCGTAGTCGTAGTCGAGCTCGCCTCCGAGGAGGTTCAACCACTTGCGCAGGTCAAGGACGCGGTCGTCCATGAAGTCGCTGGGGCCAGCCTCGATCAAGAGGATGCGCTTCTGGGGGAGGGCCTCGGCGAGACGCGACGCGATAACGCAGCCAGCGGTACCGCCGCCAACGACGACATAGTCGTACCTGTCGACGTCGGAGATGGGGAGCTGAGTGGTGGTCATTTTGGCGGAAGGGTAGGATACAATGCGAGGGTATTCAGAACAAGGCGCCCGGCCAGAGTGTGCAGGAGGAGTGATTGAGAGAGTGGGAAAGGTGTTGAGTTATACACGAAGGATGAAGATGAGATGGAGGGGTGGTACAGCTAAGAGTCCCGGCTCGAAGGCGGTCTGAGGTGAGATTTGGGGAATTCTGGGCCTTGGAGGATACACCGAGGAAGGAGAGAGCTTGGATCGGATCCGTGTCGATCGACAGCGGACGACGGGCTTATTATCAACGGAGGTCGGCGTCGCAGCTGGACAGTTGGAAGCTGGTTCATCCTTACCGTCCGGCCTTGTCTTGAGAAATTTTGGCCCTTGGCCCCTCAGGAGCTCTTCGTACCGGCGCGGTGCAGGCGCAGGCGCAGGGAGGTGGATTATCAGTGGTGGAGACGGACCCCGCGAAGGTGCACCTGTGTGGGTGGCGGGGCCCTGAAGAGAAAGCGGGTTTCGAGGCATTGAAACTGACTCGCCGGGTTCGAGCGGCATCCAAGTCCGGAACAGCGCGGGAGGCGACGGCCCATTGGACAATGGCGATTGCCAAACAATTTTTTATTTTTTTCTTCTTAGCTTCTTGCCTCTGCCTCTGCCGTCGACTTTTCCTCCTCTGGGAGGCAGTTCCGCACCTCGGGCGACACACCAGGCAGGTGGCAGGTCCCGCCCGAAAGTCTCTCCTTCCATCCCAAGTCTGGGGCACCAGGTATGAAACATCCCTGCACGAGTGCAGCAAAAGGGAAATCAGGGACGGATTTTCTTACTTCCCAGCTTCCTGACTGGCCGATACGGGTCACAGGACCCATATCATTCCGCACAGCTGGGCAACCACCTTGCTCCCGCCGCTGCAACTGCTGCATTGGCGGGCAAACACTGCAGGCAAGACTCGGCAGAATTGGCCAGGTACGTAAGCAATTGGGAGCAGGAAAGCATGGCAAGCGCCAGCAAGCCAGCAAGCCAGCAAGCAGGCAAGCAGGCAAGCACCTCACCCTCGACTCGGACAAGCACTGTGAGGCTGCTTCACTCAGCACGCCTTCGCTTGAATCCCTGATTGGGGATGTCAAGTGCCAGGTCCTTTACGAATACCCACCCGAGTGGAAACTGCCCGACGTCGACCAAAGGAATTACGAATAATGGCCAGAGGCGAGCCAACTGCCGCAAAGCAATTCAACGGCACAGACCAATCATGACGTCTCGACTCTGCCTGGTTGACCCAGCGAGCAATTGTCCACCCGCGCTTTTTGCAGTCCTGTCCTCGTTCTGCAGTGCAGCATTTTACCGCGATTAGATATCCATCCCACACCTCAACCGCCCCGGCCCAACCCGTCTAATTTCAGACGCATTTTTTCCGCGCCGGTACAAGGATGCATTAAGCCATCCTCCTGCGGCGTGGTTGTTGGTTGCCGGGGCCATATGCAAGACTTGCACTCGACATTCCCCAAGCTGCCATGCGTCCCATGCGGCCACCCGCGCTAAGGCTTTCGGAGTCTATCCGTCCCCCATCCAGCCCTGTCTCTCTCTGACGACGACGACTCGTCCGCTTCGCTTGTCTGATCTGACTTCGCCTCGCGCCCGGTGAGGTGGCATCAAATGAATGGCTGCCGCCTGCACCGTTTACCGCGGTAGACCTCATCCGGGGCATCCGCCGCGCCGTCTAGCCCGGGATGCGCAGTCAAGCCAACCATGAACTTGCTCTCATCGGCCCCCTCCAGCGCCTGCGAGGCCCTGTATCGTGTGTGTCGAGTGTCGCAACACCATCGCTATCAGAGTCGTGTGCCTGATGACACGGCGTCACGGCGTTGAAAGCCGTGCCGTGTTGCTAGATGGTGTCAGGCGATAGAGCGGATGAACCCCCAAATCCTTATCGCCTGCTACAAGGCAGATATAAGTTGGGGGAGATATCTCGGCATACGCGAGGCTGAAAATGTTCTGGAACGTTGCCGCTCAGCCTATCTCTGTATCTGCCATGGTCAGCGAAGCGATATCTTTTCTATCTCGGTCGCCGTATCTCTCGTCCGCTTATGGCACACCACCCTGTCTCGGTCAGCCAACCACTGATATCTGTCACATTGAACCCTTGGAGACCCCTTGGTGATCAAGTCCCTTCACGCCGCGACATCGTTCGATCTTGACGGCCAGACCCGGGACGAAGATGGATCTCAAGGCCACGGTTGCAGCCTTCTATTGAATGCACGCCGCAGGCAACGAAAGAAAACTTCATCCGGATTGACATTCTCTCTATTTTTTCCTCCGCTCTTGCCAATGTTCGACCCTGAAGGCTGAAACTTCTGCAGTGGAGCATCCTTTCAAGAGACCGCCGGCTGTCACTGGCCTTCGTCTGGGCTCTTTTGTGGGGGACTGTTGCATCCAAGTGGATTTTCGGCCAATGACGTATGGCTTATGACATCACACCGCCGCTGGAGCGGATCTACAAGGGGTCTCCCGGCAAATCTGCAACCCCCAGCTCCAAAGCGGATTTTACCTTCAATCATCAGCTGACCGGCGAGGCCCTCCGCGATCCCGATCTCACGCCGATCTGCGTGGGATTTTTTTCTTCCTCTCCTCGCTAGCAGACCACCACTGAGCACTGCAGATTTTCAGCCTTCCGCGAGTGCGACCGTTGACCTCCGACCCCCGTATCTCCGATCGACAGCCCAGTCCCGGCGCAAACCGCCTGCTTGCAACTGACATCCATCCCTCCCAAATTCTTGCCCGTCCCTCCACCGCCTGCCGCATTATCGGAAATCTATACCCAATCATCCCCATCCATCAGCCTCTCATTCCTTCTTCTTTTGTGTCTTTCTGTTAGTGAAGTTTCAGTTGCAGCACCTTATTCCCCCATATCACTCAAAAATGGCACCACAGGAGCAGGACCGTCACGCTTTCTATGCGGGGAAGCCCCAACCCGACTCGGAATCCCCAGGCACCTTCCAGTCCATCGATCCTGCCACGGCGAAGCCCGTCTGTACCATCCACACCACCTCATCCTCCGGCATCAACGCTGCCGTCGATGCCGCAAAGGCTGCCTTCCTCTCATGGTCCAGTACGCCCCCCATTGAGCGCTCTCGCATCCTGCTCAAGGCCGTCGCCCTCCTCCGCGAGCGCAACGACGACCTGGCCAAGATCGAGACCCTCGACACCGGCAAGGCCTTCTCAGAGACTCAGTACGTCGACGTCGTGACCGGCGCCGATGTCCTCGAGTACTTCGCCAACCTCGTCGCCAGCGGCGGCCTCAACGGCGAGTCCTTCCGCCTGAGGAACTCCGCCTGGGTCTACACCACCAAGGAGCCCCTCGGCGTCTGCGCGGGCATCGGCGCCTGGAACTACCCCATCCAGATCGCCCTCTGGAAGTCCGCGCCATGCCTGGCCGCCGGCAACTGCATGGTCTACAAGCCCAGCGAGTTCACCCCGCTCCACGCCGAGTACCTCGCCTCCATCTACAGGGAGGCCGGCGTCCCTGACGGCGTTTTCAACGTCGTCTACGGCGCGGGCGACGTCGGCGCCGCCCTCACCACGCACCCCGACATCGCCAAGGTCAGCTTCACCGGCCAGGTCAGCACCGGCAAGAAGGTCGCCGGCTCCGCCGCGGGCGGCATGAAGTACGTGACCATGGAGCTCGGCGGCAAGAGCCCCGTCATCGTCCTCCCGGACGCGGACGTCGAGCAAGCCGTCGACGGCGCCATGCTCGCCAACTTCTACAGCTCCGGCCAGGTCTGCACCAACGGCACGCGCGTCTTCATCCCCAAGGCCATGAAGGCCGATTTCGAGCGCGCCGTGCTCGAGAAGATCCAGTACGTCCGCGCGGGCGACCTCTTCGACCCCGCGACCAACTTTGGCCCGCTCAACAGCAAGACGCACCTTGAGAAGGTGCAGGCGTACGTCCGCAAGGGCGTCATGGAGGACAAGGCGACGCTACTGGTCGGCGGCACGAGCCAGCCCAAGGGCCTGCCGTCGGCGTACAAGAGCGGCCACTGGATCCAGCCGTCCGTCTTCACCGACTGCACCGACGAGATGACGATCGTCAAGGAGGAGATCTTCGGGCCCGTCATGTGCGTGTTGACATACGACAGTGTCGATGAGGCGGTGCGTCGCGCCAACACGACGGAGCTGGGTCTCGCCGCGGGCGTGTTCGGCAGAGATGTCGACGAGTGCCACAAGGTGATTTCACAGCTCGAGGCTGGTATTACGTGGATCAACACGTGGGGCGAGTCGCCCGCGGAGATGGCTGTTGGTGGATGGAAGCAGAGCGGTGTTGGTGTCGAGAACGGACGCAAGGGTCTGGAGGCCTGGGTACGGAATAAGAGCACCCTCGTCGAGATGGGCGGCGCCGTGCCGACGGTGTTCTCCAAGTTGTAAAGAGGGCGAAGCGGGAACGGAAAGGTGGATGAGACGATGTACTGATGTATTGTACTGAAGCGGGACTTACAAAAGAATGCTCCATGATGAGCTAGAAGATAGCGTTTGAATGATATCTCATGTATTTGATGAGTCTGGAAACACCCTTTTATGTTAGTCAAGTGAAGCGGACATGAAGTGTGGTGACAGCCACAGGTTGTTGAAACTGGCCACCTGCTGAGTAATTCGGTACATATTAAGGCAGTATGCCTCCTGAAACAATGTTACGAACCAAATTACACCATTGTCATGATTGTGCCTGTGCGTACTATGAACAGACTGGATGCGGCTATGCTGGGGTAAATTCTGGTACCAGAGCACCCGCTCTCCAGGCATCTACTACGTACCAAGTCCTCCCATCAGATACATGCTCCAAGATTTATCGGTTATCCCTACGTATATACAGATCCAAATGATGGACGACAACAGGCAGTGCTATCTATGCTCTGTGTGGACTGAGCTGATGAGCTACGGACTGCGCAAGGATGTGAGCGAAGTATGAGGTCAAGCGCTGGAGCTGCGCTCATCTATAGTCGCCGGCGCCGGATTTGCGTTTTGGTTGAGCAACATCTCGGATTATTGAGAGGCTGTGCTTAAGTATGCTTTTGTCCCAGATTAGGGACATAAAATGGAGAAGTCTTAGAGACTTCCAGTTCACGCGGCGCAATAAATGCGTGTGCTGCGGACAATGATGCTTTGTGATGGCTGTATGGGTTCTTTTTTTTTTTTTTTTAGTAATGGGTGGGCTTTTTGATGCCTTTCTGTGACACCTGTGAATGGCTGTGGTAGGCTCGTGGCAAGAATGAAGGTGCAGAACTTGTCCCTCGCTTATCCCATCAAGTAATGAACAAAGGAAGAGGGTGGAAAAATGCTCTGGATGGATAGTCCACCTCATAACGAGAGCTTGCATAATCAGCTTGTGGTGCGTTTATGTCCATCCAAACTGATGAGAAATTCAATTGCGGACTGAATTGAAAGACCAAGGCCACAAAGACCGGATTGTCTTGTCAGGCTTGAAACTCTTCGCGCCCGCCTTTTTATAAGAGATCACACTTAGGAGTGAGGAGACTTGAGGACCAAGGAATGGCCCATATGCATGTTTGACACTTATCGAAGTTCACAATGAGTTTGGGTAACAGGCTCCAGGAGTATAAAACCTAATAGGCTAGGGAGAAGTCATTACTGAAAACCCAGAGCAATTCTGTCTATCGCTCAAGTTGTTCAGCTCTAGTTCCAACATTCACCGCGGCTAGTTCTGGGGAAGTGATACGTGGCAATCAAGAGTGTGGTGTGATGAGGCAGTTCCTAGCGCTTGGCCGCGTCCAGCCGTCCTTTCTGATGATTATTCAGTCAGGGGAATTCAATGAGTGGCCGAAAACGGCTCTGAGACATTTAATGTGGCTACATGTAGTTCTTGAGGCATTCCCAAGTGCTAGGGTGCGGACTGAGCTCTTTCCCTCCTGGTTTGGAACGCTGAACATATTTGACGAACATTTTGCCGGTTGTCGTTCCTTTCTAGGTTTCGATGGCGTTCTTATACCTTTCGATACCTTCCACTGAAGCTTGAATGTGCTTAGATAATGAGAAAGATGCATGGTATTACATGTCCGTTACCATAATACTAGTGTGATGGTGTAGCTGTACCTAGCGAGATTGGGACAGTATTCGAAAAGCCGTGCCTCAGTCATCGTCACATCATTGGCTAAAGCTGTAACGTGCTGCTTCATCACCTTCTCATTTATTTGATGAGCATGCATACTTGCTCACCGCTACCAACCCCTAGTAGACGTATTGCGTATGAGAGGCAAGTCAGCGTCCTTTATCGAAAGGCTTTAGGCTCGGTTTCCCCCGAGCACGCCTGAAGTATTGGGAATTTATTTCGCCACAGTTGAAACAAGATAGAACAGCATTCTATTGTCTATATGCCAGGACACGCATCCTTCAACTAACCGCTATGCCATCGACCCAGCACGACCGTCGGGGTTCCCTATTTTACTTGGTGCAACCTCCCTGTGCTCCGACTGTGTAGGTAGAACCACGAATGTCGTTAGACCCAATCTTCCCCTTGTCGGCGCTGCGGGCATCAATGATTCTGAAGTCTCCCGCCAGATTCGCGTTGAGATCCGCCGAGGTGTTGATGCCGTCATCTCGGTCGACGACGTGGCACTGCTCGTTTATGCAACAGCACTGCGGCGTGCCCACGAACTTGGGAGCGCCACCCGATGTGGCATCCGGCGACTTGAAGATCTGGAAAATCTTGCACTTCGGTGCCTGTCTCTCGGCTGAGGGGGTTGGTAAGGTCAGCAGACGCGAGCGAAAACTCAAGGGACGGCTTTTGCTACGCACTCAGATCCTTGGGCAGGGCCGAAGAAGCGACTAGCGTTGCTGTCGCGAGGAAAACGATGGAAGTGGGCTTCATTGTGAGCGATTGACGGAGGTTGGAGACGGTTGAGAGAAAGAATGTGGGTTTTTGGATTGAAGAACTGAGGGCTGATGGCTACCACTCTGATCCTGAGGGACTTGGCGCTTCCTTAAGTAGTCAGAAAGATGGTCTTGACTGGTCACCATCCCATAAGTTCCCACACGGATACTTTCACGATATCCTCCCTCGGGGGAAAAAGTCCCAGAGGGGAAAGTCTCTCGATGCGACATCCGTCTTTGGTCTGTGCTAAGCAAGTTGACACGGGTTTGAAATGAAGAGAACGATAATTAATTAAAACAAGGTTTAGACAGCTTCATTTGCAGGGCTGAGGTGAGCTGTGCGTCGTCGCGCAGGCTGTGTCGGTAAAGCCCGAGTTGATGATTGGCCTTGACATTAGAAAATGAATGGAAGCCGTGGAAGTCGTGGAAGCCGCGGTAGCTGGTAGTCGACTGGATTCCTGCTGCACATGGTGAGACAGACTAGCAACTGTTGGAGACAATAGAGTTCATCGCTTTCAACCAAGTCGTTGCCGTTCATCCGAAAAGACATTCAAACCCCCGGAGCGACTGACGATTCAAATGAGGCTACTGCTGCTTTCAATACCAACAACGCGATCTATGCGCAGTACCCTCTCTTATTCTGGTTCTTCATGTTGAGCTGCAGGCATTCATTTGGTCTACGGTGGCGAGATCGATCTTTTTATCTCCATGGAAATGGCCTGTGGGAGCTGGAACACTCCCAGATTCAGGGTCCTAGCTAAGCCACGGAGATTTTGACATTAGTCGGAAAGGTGGGTACTACCCGGATGGATTTCTTGTACTGCCTGGATAGCAAACCTCTGTACGAATACCTGCCACAGACTGCAAACACAGATCCGTTCACGCTGCCCTGCCTGCCTGTCTATGCATTCATACATAGTGCAATTAATAATACTTGTTGTTCCGGCGAGCGCCATCTTGCTGAGACGCACAAAAGCTTAGCAAAAGCTTATAATAGATCACACCAAAGCTTATCATGGTTCACACGAAAGCTTATTATAGTTCATCCATTTCCCCCGGGATGAAGACAAGTCAGTCATGTGGCCGGCCCAGGAAGAGATGAATCCACTAGTTCGGATTTGAAGTGAACAAGTGTTCTAGAACCAGTCTGTTGCTTATGTTGCGGGACCTGCCGGCGGCGTCAATGTCCGGTGGGAAGCTGACGTTACTTCCATACCAATGCGCCGGTCCCAACGCTGAAAATGCTCAAAGTCTATTTTACCTTTCAATTTCAACACCCTAGCTTTAGCCAACGTGGCAGGACGACGTCCCCGTATCACCTCGCTCTTGGTCTCCGCTATTAACGGGAGAGCAAAAGCGACCTCCTCAAACAGTAATCATTTCTAACATCATTCTTCATCAGTGAATAAATAATAAATGCAAGTTCAAATTAGATGAGGACGATCTCCCTGATACTCTCTTCGCTCCAGAGACTTCTCAACCGTGCTTGGTGCTCTTTTAGTGATTTCTTCCCGCGAGTGTGTTCCTCCTCCCATCGATGTGAAGATTTCACCGGCCAAATGCTATCCATCTCAAACAAGCCAACGCGAGAGTAACGATTCTCCCCTTCCTCCATGAGCACAAGGCCTTCCACACCAAGATCACCAGAGTCAACGACCACCAGCAATTCGAGGGTCAGCCCGCAATCTAGTTGGAGCCTGTCGTCGTTGGGATAATCGAACCCAATCGATACGATCTGGTCTCTCACCTCGCTTTGTATGAATCCATTCTCGTCTGCCGAAGGTATGGGGATGCTCTTGACCAGACCTCGAAGATGAAGCTTAGCGACTTTGACCTCGCCGAACGGCTCGATGTCGGACACAGGCTGAATGTCGTCGCCTAGAATCTCAAAGTCTTGATTTTGGCGCCAGTGGGTGTGCCTTTGCTGCATCCAGCTCGCTCGGCCTTCGAAAGACGCCCAGCTCCACGATGGCCCAGCCTTGTAACCAAGCACAGCGTCGCCTTCCATCAATGTAGGGAACCACATCAGTCCCCTTGCCAAGTCAGACCTCCACAAGCCACAAATATATTCATCTTCCAACAGAGCCGCGAATTCTCTCGCTATGCCAGATATGGCAGGGAAGCGGTCGGCTCGATGAGATAGCTTTCGTCCAGAGTACACCTCCACAAGGTCGTACCAATGCGACAGAATATCAGTCTTTAGGGGAGCGCTTTCGCCACCCCGCAGCAAAGCCATGAGCCCTCGGAAGAGGTATTGATCAGAGTAATTGATGTAAGTGTTCCCCATGCCCCCGATCCAACCGTCGCAGTCTTCGACCAATGACTCGGAGCAATGGCATATCCACGTCGTCTGCCGGGCGCGGTACTGAAGTCGGCGTCGGGAAAAGAGCAATTCTTGAAGGGTCCAAGCCCTCTCATACCAGGGCTCCATTTCATCCAGCTTGTCCGGTATGAGTATCATCGTCTGTTGTTCGTGGCCAGTGGGTTCATCAACTTCGGCCTGAACTTCGAATACCGGTTGGACTTGCCCATCTGGGTTTCCAGTTGTTTCATAGGTCGGAGCCCGCTTTCCGAGGAACCCTTCCTTGACATCCTTCGCTGCGGAAGCAACGATTGTGAACGTGGCGTTCTGATAAATATCACCCATTCTTCTCAGTTCCTTCACCTTATCGTCGTACTCGTCTTGAATGATACATAGTGCGTCGATCCACAGGAATTTGAATCCGAGCTCCCTGGTAACGGTTATGCTGTCCCGAATAGTTGGGTCTAGCTTTTGCGGGTCGATGGAAGAGGTCAAATCAGACATGTTCCCAGTTCTCAATATGATAGCTTGAGAGACACCTCCCCAGCAGTAGGACAGTGCGATGTAGCGCTCTCTCATGTTCTCAGGCACCCGCAACAGTCGACTGCGACCAGGGTCTGATACGTCGATGACCAGAGAAGGCATGGAATCTGGTAGATCCATTATTCCACATTTATGATTCATGTCGCAGTTGCTCAGCCACTTGCGGATGAGATCCATCGAAGCTGGACTCTCTGGATTCAAATTGACAGGAGAGCCAACAATGGTTCGGGAAGCGTTGTTGAAATGACCTTGAGTCCAGCTTAGCATTGAAACATTTGGTGTCAATTCCCAGAAAGTGGCTTACCTGGGAGGTAAAGAGCGAGGAACCTCGTCGAATATTGCACCAGTTCGACTTCTTCGCGATCGGGACTCGCAGTCTCGGGGAATCCTTTGGGGATCAACATTCCGATGTACACAATGACGTTTCTGTCCTTGAAGTCATTGATAGCAGAATATCCCATGGTCACCCGGACGCAATTATTCTGGCCCACAGGAAACTCTTCCTTGTCACCGAGAACTTCGCCATGATCCCAAAAGAGGCGTTTCCGCAAGCGGGGATACTCGTTCGCTTCAGACGCGTCGACAGAAGCAGCAAGTTTCTCTTCATGCGCTTCTATCTTATTCTCGTGATAGTCGTCCAAGTCGTAAGCGTTGATTCTTTGTTTCTTTTGAGACTTTGCCTCTGCTTCGATGCTTGTCAGCTGGTCTTGGATGACAGTCCAGAGAGTACACCTTCGGCCGGACATGCTCCTTATTTCTTCCACGGTTGTATCGAGCCGGAAGAACTCAACATCCACAGAGTTAACTCGACTTATCTTGGGAGGGGGAAGAGGCGCCATTGTCACGATCTTGCAATGCTCGCAGGAGTGTGCTTTGTCGTTGTCGGACATCAATGCTCGCTTGAGACGAAGGATTTCTCCATCCATGGAGGAGGTCTCCGGAATATATGCTTGAACTTCATCTTTTTTCATCATCGTGTTTGATAGCCTTATTCAAATGCACTGTCTGTGACGCTTGTTCTCAAGATTCGATGTCTCCTTCGAGATGGTGGTTGTCGTCTTGAATGGGGGCGATAAGGCAACTAGTAGCCTGTCAATATTCTATCCAACTGAGCCCGACTCCGACCAATCAGAATTGAATCAATAATGACAAATGTCTCCGAAAGGATCCATAGCCAGGCTTAGCTTTCTTGGACCAATGAGCAACAGCAACTCCAAGCTGCCATTTTACAGGTGACTGTTCATTATTGAGGTTAGCGTCTAGGAAACAGACGGCTTGAAAAAGCTGAAAGAGGACGTTATCCAGCCTTCACAACCAAGAGCTTGGCTCTTCAAAGTTTAGGCCAGGCTGTTTGACAAATCTTTTGGGCTGGCTTCTGTGTGGCTCCCAAAACGGTTGGAGTCCACACAACCAACACTCGTCCGCGTGATAGCATACAGCATACCCTGCATTCGATGTCCATCATTTCCTCTTGGGTACTCACAGTGCAGAAAGACCCAGCTGAGTGGAATTGAACGTATGTTGCTAGCTTGATGCGTATGCTGCATATGCACGATGAATGCCGAGAGGGTGATTGACAAATACCACCATTCTCAAACCTCTCGATTCTTCCTAAAACAAAACCCTACACCATACCAATATGTAAATGATCTACAAGTGATGACTTGAGATGCAAACCCTTTTGGCCATGACAAATGTTGGAAATATTGCCTAACGTCTGACTCGAAAGCTGCATAACGGGCCCGTTGAGAACCCTGGAGACTCGGCGGGCAATCTTATTGATGGTGCGGCAGGCAGGCCACCGAGATGGTTTGCATCGTCGAAAAGACAATCGGCGACACCGATGGACCGGGCCCAACAGAGCGAGAAGTGATTCATGTCGACGCGGGACATTTGATTCTCACATAAGCCGTATACAGTCCATCGCCGTCAGGACCGCCGCAAGTAGTCTGATCGTTGCCATTGCAAGTTGCGTTACATGACGCTTCAGGCTGCACGACGAATGGAGGATCGTCAGACCCACGTCTGCTGCACGAGCATCGAGCGCCATCAAACAAGACGGCAAATTTCGTTCCTGATATCCTGCAGTTGGTCTCGCACATGCTCGGAGTCATGACGTTGCTGACCGAGAGTCCTAGGAAGTTGTTGTTGAAGTCTGACTCGGTGAGGGAGACGCATCCGAGATAGTCCCATACACGGGGCTTTGCAAACTGCTGCTGGGGGAAAGATTGTGTCACAAAGAGTAGCATGAGCAGCTGTGACAATTTGGAAGACATCTTGAGAGATCGAATGGAACCTGGCAGGTTTTTGATGACGATCAGGATGGGACGTGATAAAGGGAAAGAGGAGCCTTTTATCTTGCCTGGAACCACTGCCGTGAAGCGTATGTTTGCGATATTGGAAGATGAGATATCATTGGACAAGCAAGAGGCCTGCGGGGTTAATCAGTTCACCAAATCAGCATCGGTTCAGTCATGACTGATGAGACCGAAAGATGTTATTTTTCCATCTTCCACCGAGTAAGACTGTCGGTTGCGCCGAGAAGGTCCGAAACTTTCAGTTTCTTCAAATGATCTGCATCAAACGCATTTCCGTATTCGGGTCAACAACATTCCAGTGAGTCAATGTCACACGCCTGGATTACTGGTACGCGGCTCTCGGATGTCTTTGTGGGACAGAAAATGCCACGACCGCTGCAAAAACATCATGTCTCAAGAGAATTTTGCCAACAATGTGACGACCGTTTTCAGAGGGTAGCTCAAAAAAGCAAATGGGTCCTTCGTCACGATGCCAATGTTCTTATTCAATATGAACGGCTCCAGCGCGTATATATACACGTAATCAACGGCGGTGTGCCTCAAAAAGTAAATACATAGAATTCCCAACTTCCTCTTCAAAACGTTACTTATGTCGTGACGCCTGATGACAAGCGGGCTGCTCTTCCCGACTCATACTCCCGATGCTTAAGCAGCGCAAATACTAGCCTGACGACCAGCACCCTTGGAAACGATGCTCGGCACATCATTGGCCGCATCGACTTTGTAGTGGTAGAAGGTCTTGGGGTCGAAGACAGTGCCAGCATTCTTAGCCGTGGTGCCGCTGGTGCTCTTGAAGACGTTTCCGGTAGCACTGAGCTTGGCAGTGCTGTCGGCCTGGATCGGGTTCTTGACCTTCTCAAAGTAGCAGTTCTCCATGACCATCTCGGTCTTGCCACGGGCGTAGTGGCCGTAGGAGGTCTGGCCAACGAGGTAGTTGTTGTAGAGATGGGCGTTCTTGACGTTGTCGACGGAGGGGTTGCGCTGCTTGGTCTGGTCGAAGTAGTTGTGGTGGATGGTCACCTGGGCACTGACGTTGTCGGTCCAGCCTAGATGGATCTGGGTTAGCGACGGTACTCGAGGGAGATGATGAAGAGATGGACGGGTCTTACCAATGCCAAAAGCCTTGTTGTGGTTGCGAAGGATGGTCCAGGAGACGGTGAGAAATGTTGTGTCCTTGCGGCTGTCGATGAGACCGTCACCGCCCTTCTCAAGGTGGACGTGGTCAATCCAGATGTTGGTGCAGTTATCCTGTTCATGAGTTAGTATCTTAACCCTTCATGAGATGAAGTCGTCTTACCATCTGAATGCCGTCAAAGTCCTGAGTCTTGCCCTCATCATCACCCTCAACGTACGTGTTGCCGATCTTGAGGTTACGGAAGATGATGTTGCGCTGGTTCTGGATGTTGAAACCACCCTGGTCAATCTCGGCAGTGGCACCGATACCAACGATGGTCTTGTCGGAAGAAACCTTGACCTCCTTGCCCTTGGGGGTGATCGTGATCTTTCCAGAAACCTTGATCACATACTTGCCCGTGGAGCCAGCATACTTCTCGAGATCGGCCTGGGTCTTGACAACGACAACCTCGCCGCCCTTGCCACCTGTGGTGCCACCGTTCAGAGAAGCGAAGCCGTCAGGGGTACCACTGCAATCATCGGCGGCGGCGGCAACGGCAGCAGGTGTGGCAGCAGCCTTGACAACGGTGGAGAGTGTTGTGGGTGTAGCCTGGGCAACGGCATCGGCGACAACAGCGGGCGCGGAAACCTCGGCGGAGACAGCGACGGCGGCAGACTTGGCGCCGCTGGTGTAAGACGAATCAATCCAGGAGGTGGAACCGAGAATGTCACCAAACTTGACGGCAGAGCTGCGCTTCTTGGAGAAGCTTGCGCGTGTGCCCTCCGCGCCCTTGCCCGTGTTGGCGTACTCGCTGTAGTCGACGTTGTCGGTCGGGTTGTCTCCCCACTTGATCCATCCCGCAGAGTTGACGACGGAGCCGAGGTTGCTGTTCTGGAAGACGACACGGGCGAAGGTGCGCCAGGGACGGCCGAGATATGTCTGACCATCGCCGACTCCCGAGAGGGCCTTGACTGTGGACTTGTTGATGACGTACCACGACGGGTTGCTCGTGGAGTCACGGCCGGAGGCGGTGATGTACCCCTTGCCGGAGATGGCGAGTGTGCAAGACTCGAACCAGGCGATGGCCTTCTGGCCGAAGATGAAGTCGGTGGCACCCTCGATGTAAGAGCCGTGGAAGTAGTGCTTGCCCTGGTTGGAGAGGACAGTGTCTTGGTAGCCCTTGGCTTGGATGCCGTAGTATCCTTGCTGGTTGCCGTAGGCACTTAAGGCAATGGCCTGGATGCCCTTACCACGGGAGTTGACGATGTTGATGTTGTAGACCTTGAGGTTGTCGTTCTTGGCTCGGAGGGTACCGGAGGCGTCATTGTTACCGGCCTGGTCAGCGCCTAGGCTGTTGGTGATAGTGACGGTGTTCTTGGAGTAGTCCTGGTCGTTGGACGTGGAGCCGTAGATCGTAAGGGCGCCAACGGAGGCAGGAATCAAGACCTGTTCGTTGTATGTACCAGGCTGAATGAAGATGACGCTACCAGATTTGGCAGCATCAACAGCCTTCTGAATGGTGCTGTACTGACCACCAGACTTGGCGACCACAAGGGCGCCGGAGGGGGGAGAAGTCCGGGACGCGCCAAGGGCGCTGGCCACCAGGGACGACAGCAAAAGAATGGAAGAGGCAAACATGTTGCTCCAGTTGGGAAATTGTAGATAGAAAAGAATGCGTGTGTTCTCAGAACATAACGAGGGAAAAAGGATGCGCAAAGAACGGAAATGGTCTCGAAGAGGAGTCAACCAGAGCAAGAACAAGTGAAGAGGCCGCATAGAAAGCCATATCCTAGGAGCACGCTCTAGTTTTCTAGTCTCCAGATGTCCTCACGGCGCAACTTCTGCGGACGTCAGGGAAGGCCTCCGAAAGGAGGTCAAGTCTTGGCAAACATCTCAACCCCAAATCGATCCAATGTCAAGCTTCTTCTTTCTCTAGTAATTCTTGGCAGTCCAGGACGTGACGTTTCAATAAACTCAATTCGGCTCTAGTTTCCCTGCCGTACGACTAAAGACCGGACGAGCAGTCCAAAGAATAGAGTGAAAAACAACTCTATCCGCAACCACTTGACGTGCCCAACGCAGGGGTCCTGAGATCCGCCTGGTGGGAAATTGCGCTTCTGTTTGTGTGCAGTGTTTGCTGGCGCTTCAGGGGGCGCTCGCAGGTTTACTCATCTTTCCGAGACCACAGCCACCTGACCAACGCCTGTTCGGGTTCCCCAAATCCCCAGATGGTCTAGACGCTTCTTCTCCTCGTTTTCCGTGTGGTGGACTTCTCCTGATGGGGTATCCACCTCCCCAATTCGAAGCGCCTAGAGGCACTCAATTACAGGGGTGCATAAGCAAGCATAGCTAGTTCGGTGGGCCTGTTTCCTGTTTAGAGGGTTCTCCCCAGACTCTTGGTCCTGAGATCTGACGAGAACATGGCTCGAAAAGGAGTTCGAATCGTGCTTTGTGGAAGATTTCTGCCCAGCACGATGATGGTGTGATGATCCCGTGTCCCGTATTCGATGCCAAGCATGAGTTTTGGGGAAAAGGAGCGTTGTGACCGCTGAACAGCTCGGGATCTTGCAGGTCTTTACGAGAATCTCCACCCAGCAAATCCAATGGATACTACGTTGACGGACTGTCTGCCGCCGCTGCTGCTCATCGGGGATCAAAAAGTCCGCAAAAAGGCCGGATCGAGGTGCGTACATGCCATGGGCTGAGTGAACGCGGTTCAGGTTGAAATAACGTTTCAAGGTTATCGATGTTGGCTGACAGCCGTAAGTTAATCCTGGTCAACGCACAAATGGTGTCTAGTGAGCGCGTTCTACCGTGATTACATATGACCATGAAAAAGCAAAATGCCATCAGCTTCTGGGTCAACAAAGATACAATTGACGGGAGACCTCTCGTTTGCTCGCTCTCGGAAAACACATCGCTTCCGCCCCGGAGATGCGCTGATCGGGGCAGGCATTAAGATGAAACGGCTTACATGACACCTAATCTCATCACGGTAAGCTCCCTATTGGCGCACTGAAAATTCCCGTTTCTAACATGACATTAGCACATTATTGGACACTAATGCCAAGCATTTCAGACAAATAAGACTGCAAGTGAAGTAGCGAATTGACGACTGAAATCCACACTGGATTCAGAGAGGTTCTCCTGTCTCAAGCCCAATGCACTTATTTGTTTTAGGGTGTAAGGGGCTGGCCCCTAGGCTTGTTCAACGTAGAGGTGCCGTCGATTGACTATTCTAAGCTGAAGAAGGAAGAAAGGACTTTACAAGGGTAGGCACCTAACAGCGGTGAAGCAGGCCGGGTTAGGCGGCGTACTGCG